TGTAGCATGTGGAGAATCCACTTCCTCCACGCCATGCTTGCTTTTATGTTCTCCCTTCTTCACCCCTTTTTCTATGCTAAAAAGGAAAGGTCCAGTGTTCTAGCCTTTACTTAAAGGAGGGTTGCGTCAGCCCTCAAACATTCTGGTCGTGCTCTTCTGTATATTTTCCAGCTCTACGATATTGTTTTTGCAGTAGATCACATGGATGCAAAATCGAGTCCCTGATATCTCCAGATAGGGCTGGGAAGGATTTCTGCCTCAGACCTCAGGGAATGCTTAGTCTTACTCAGCCTCAGGCAGTTTCCTGATGTTATCTTCGTATTATACCTATTATGTTTAAAAGCAAGGCTTTTAAAAAATCAGTGCTGAGCAGTTCTAGAATTAACAGAGGGGCTAATAGAAGTAGGCTTTTGAGATGTCCCCGTGCAGAAGGTTGGCTCAGCAATAAATGACTGAGGCACGGCAGCACCGAGCATTTGACTACAAAGCCTGCACTTCCAGCCTTAGGGGTACCCAGCAAGCGACGACCAAGCCTCTCCACGGTTTTATCCATTTATTTATCAAGCTATGCTGTCCCCTGCCTTGCCACTCAGCATGCAGTGTTTCTGAGCCTGATTCCCACATTGGTGCAAATGGCAGCCGGTGAAATCGGGCTGTATTCACCACACCCGTGGCCCACTGCTGGCCTGCGGGGAGCTGGCTGTTCTTGCAGCTTTTGGGAAGGAGCAGAAACATGCATCTCCAGCAGAGCTTGCAGGGGGACCACCAGCCACGTGGTCTTCCCATTTAGTTTATTTGTCAGCTTGCTACATTCCTATGCTGCCCCAGAACCGAAGCTCTCGGGCTCCCTCACGGGTCCCACTGGCCCCAGAGAATGGGTGGCGGTGCAGTGGCAATACGAGCGATAACCGAGGGATTGTGCCACGCACCATGTTCTCTGTAAATTGCTACTGCTAAAGCACAACATCTTCTGCAGGAACAAGAAATTCCTAACTGAATGTGTCAGATTCTAAAGGCTGCCATGAGGCACAGAGGGACTGCTCTTTGGTGCAAAGAGTAGGAATAATACAGCTGAAAATCAGACAAAAATACTGGGGATGCTTGGCTGCCTGTTGTTTGCTGGCAGTGATCTCCATTCTGTACAAATTGCATAAATGGTATTAGTCTGTGTCATTTGCGGTGCATTTTATTTAGGCAGGCATATGAGATTGGTCTCATGGCGGTTCTGCAATTCCTTTCTTAGTCATAACCAGGAAAACAGAAGTGTGTCAAAGGAAACCTTGGAGTGCTTAGCAACTTTTCTCTTGCTCCCTAAGATATCTAAGTATCTTCGCATTGGCATTAAGGAGCAGGGAAAGGGAAGTGATACTTTCAGTCTCTACACTCATAGAATCCTAGAATAGTAGAGTTGGAAGGGGCCACGAAGGCCATCAGGCCCAACCCGCTGCTGTTGCAGGACACCCATTCACACCGTCCCACTCAGAGGCTGCCCAGTTTCTTTCTGAATGTCTCCGGTGTGGGAGAGCCCACCACCTCTCTGGGCAGCTGGTTCCACTGTCGCATTGCTCTGACCGTGAGGAAGCTTTTCCTGATGTCCTGTGATCAGTCCTGAATCTGGGCTGTCACAACTTGAACTGATTATTCCGTGTCCTGCACTCCGGCATCAGCAAGACGAGATCTTGACCTTCCTCCTTGTGACAGCCTTGGAGGGACTTAGAGAGGGACACCTTGTCCCCCCTCAGTCTTCTCTTCTCAAGGCTGGACATGCCCAGTCCTCCCAGTCTCTCCTCATCAGTCTCTCACTGATGATATTAGTTTAATATCATCAGCGGTGGCTCACTGAGTTGGCTGGAGGTGCGGAACCAGGCCAGGGTCCTTGACTGAGTGGCACTGATGCGTCCCAGGCATGGTGCCTGCCCGTGTACATGCCCCAGTTGCTGGGGAACTTGGGCAGGAGGGTGCCGTTGTACTCATATCCTACTTGCGGGATCCTGCACTTGGCTTGTTTGCCACTGCATGAAGAAAATGCTGCCCTAGAGGGCCCCGGACCAGATTCAGCATGGCTTTTCTGGGTAGAGGCCTGTTCTCCCCTGCAGAGGAAGGCACGATGCACTCTAACGGAGCAAAACTCAGGGAACCCAGGTTCCATCTGGATGCCAGGAAGCACTTCCTGACAGTCAGGACCCCGAGGGTGTGGAATGGGCTTCCCCAGGAGGTGGCTGAGGCCCCATCGGGGAGGGTGTTCAAAGACAGGCTGGGCATGCACATGGTGGGCATGTCATGAGCGGAGCCGGCTGGAGCCGGGGGTCAGACTAGATGGCCCGGGAGGCCCCTCCTGACGCGCTCTGTTTCCATGTTTCTTATGTGTTGTGTCAGCCGCAGGTTTTCTCTGCCACACTTTGCGGTGGGAAATGGGATGTTTCCACTGTTGTTTTTGTTTTCTGTTTTTGGTCAAATGGTAGGAGCCATCAGGAAAATGCACTTTGGTTTATGAGGGAGGAATCTGTGGGGACTCTTGAATGCAGTTTGCCTTTAACATAAAGGATTTTGTTTGTCGTTGGAGAAATCTCATTTTTGCTGCACTGACTGGACACAGCGCTGCCTTGTTCTGCTTTCTGTTTTGCTTCAAACTGTTTATCTTCAGTCCAACATCATTCCACGTCTGAACTTGGCTTAGGGATGCAGCGAAAGGTATTTTATTCCATGTATGGGCTTCGTCGCTGGGAGCTGCTTTAAGTTGGAAATAGTTCTGCGCGAGTTGTGGCTGAAGCTTGCCTCCATGCACAGAAGGCAGCCTGAGGTGCTTCTCTGTCCAGAGCTGCAGCTGTGAGTCCTTCCTGCAAAGAGGGGCTTTTGTTGGCTGGTAGATTTGCAGATCTCCTCCTCTTCTGGGCTTCTCCACCCCAAAATCAAAGGCTTGTCACCTCTACTGTATATTCATCAGGGATATGATTTAGGTCATACCTGAGTGGCCTAGTGCTTTTCCCTACTTTCTTCATTTTAAGCCTAAATTTTGCAACGAGAAGCTCATGATCTGAGCCACAGTCAGCTCCTGGTCTAGTTTTTATTGACTGTATAGAGTTTCTCCATCTCTGGCTGCAGAGCACATAGTCAATCTGATTTCTGTGCTGACCATCTGGTGAGGTCCATGTGTAGAGTCGTCTCTTGGGTTGTTGGAAAAGAGTGTCTATGACCATCGTATTCTTTTGAAAAAAGTCCACCAGCCTGTGCCCTGCTTCATTTTGTACTCCAAGGCCAAACTTGCCTGTTATTCTGGTTATCTTTTGGCTTCCTACTTTAGCATTCCAATCCCCCATGATGGTAAGGACATCATTTTTTGGTGTTAATTCTAGAAGGTGTTGTAGGCTGTCATAAGACTGGTCAACTTCAGTCTCTCCAGCACCAGTGGTTGGGGCAGAGACTTGGACCACTGTGATGTTGAATGGTTTGCCTTGGATTCAAACTGAGACCATTCTGTCATTTTGGAGGTTGTATCCCAGTACTGCTTTTCCTACTCTTTTATTGACTATGAAGGCTACTCCATTTCTTCGGAGGGATTCTTGCCCGCAGTAGTATACCTGATGGTCATCTGAATTAAATTCCCCTGTTCCTGTCCATTTCAGCTCACTGGTTCCTAAGATGTCAATGTTCAGTCTTGTCATCTCTTGTTTGACCACGTCCAGCTTGCCTTGATTCATGGAACTTACATTCCAGGTTCCTATGGAGTATAGATCTTTGCAGCACCGGACTCTCCTTTCACCACCAGATACTTCAGCGACTGAGTGTCCTTTCAGCTTTGACCCAGTCGCTTCATTCTTTCTGGCGCTACTAGTACTAGCCCTCCGCTCTTCCCCAGTAGAATATTGGACACCTTCCGACCTGAGGGGGCTCACCTTCTGGCGTCATATCTTTCTGCCTTTTGGTCCTGTCCATGGGGTTTTCGTGGCAAAGATACTGGAGTGGGTTGCCATTTCCTTCTCCAGTGGATCACGTCTTGCCAGAGCTCTCTGCTATGACCTGTCCATCTTGGGTGCCCCTGCATGGCATACGAGCAGCTCAGAGCTTCATTGAGCTACGCCAGCCCCTTCGCCACGACAAGGCCGTGATCCATGAAGGGGTCTGGCACTACTGGAGAACTGCAACAGGAGACAGTGAGGGGAGAGAGAGACATTCTGTGATGAGCAGTGATACAGGGTGAACATTTCTCCTATTTCCATGGAAACTTTCCATTTCATAAGTTAATTAGTAATGAGGAATGAGTGCCAGTCGCAAATACAATATTGGGCAACCTTCTCAAGTTGTAATAAGACCGTGATCACTAGCAAATATGTGAGAAGATACGTCAGTAATTTGTCGGCAGGTGGCAGAGGCTGTGGGGGATGCAAACAACAACCAGTCCATTCGGGATGATCATGCACCACGTTTGCTTTCCCCGGTGGTACAAGCAGGAACAGAGACGTGCTTGTCGGCACATCACACGCCATTCTTTCAGTGGCTCAACTGTGTCAACGTCTTTAGAACCTTTGTTTTTTGTCTTAAATGTAAGCAATGTAAGGGGACATTTGCAATCTCAAGAAACACTTTCAATCACATTAAATGTGCTTTCCTCAAATATTTTGGGTCAAATATGATGTACTGGGACAAAAATTAAGCTTCATAGTTTAAAGACAAGGAAAACGAGTTTACTTAATCAAATCTCTCTCTAAGACATCAGAAAATTTTCCTCATGCATCCTGAAACTTTTGCCATGCAGATTACTCTAACTCTTCTGGAAACTTTTCCCATTTAAACTGTTCCAGAAAACCCACAGCACTAGTAAGATGCAGTGAACTGGAGCGTGGTCCCCATGCCGGGATGCAGAAACAGGCTCAGCGAGGAAGTGGGGAGGAGGCTGGTGCCCCTGAGCGCAGCCTTGGTGCTCTGGCTCGGGAGACGTCCCTGTGTCCGGGCCCTTTCCAAGTCAGCTTTACTGAGCATGAGCCGGTGGCGATGGGAGGGCTCTTTTGCTGCCGAATGGCTGTAACAGATTGCGCACAGGAAACCGAATGCTGGGAGGAGGCCGTGTGAGCAGAGATGTGACCAGCCTGGTCCCAGCAGGACTCCGCCGACTTTGGTGCGCAAAGGGCAGCGTGGCGAGGTCTGCAGGGTTGCGTGGCCGTGACGCTGACACCTTCAGCAGTATGTTGCTGGCATGCCGACGCTGACGCATGTGTAAGTGGCTGCCGGGAGAGCTGGGATGTCTGTCATCTGTGTGCACACACTCATCCGTGCGTGGACGCAGGCTGTGAGTTGTAAACGGTGCACGGTTCATGCCAGGCTCATGGAGGCAAGTGCAGGCTGGCTAGGAACTCAAATCTGTCGCTACAAATTGTAACGAAGCAGCGAGGGGGGGCGTAGGAATAGTGCAATTCTTGCTCCTCTGTATTGGGGAGAAAGTTGCAGATGCTTCCTTGCCAGATTCCTTCAGTCGTTAGAATGATTAGTGCTATTTGACATCAAATTTCACCATGCTGGATAGCTTGGATGTCCCTTAACTAGTGAGGATTTTGCCTGTAGCTTATTTTGGAAGTCTGATGGGGTGGTCTGTCCTCACAGAATTTTCTCTGCCCCTGGAATGGGTCCCTCCCCTTCCCCCTTCCCCCTTCCTTTATGGTTACAAACAAGCAATTAAAACTCTGTTGACGTCTGGTCTTTGGAAGGCCTGCAAACCAGATGAACCGTCCTCGTCCTGTCGCGCCTCTGCCCCTGAACTAGGTTGACTACGGTCTCTTTAGGGGTGCACTGAAGCCCCCCTTTCTGAAGCAGGGTTCTGCATCTCATGCTTCGAACACTTCGGCTCATCGGCGTGTCTCACGGAACATGCGCCTCTGTCCCGGGGCTTTAACACCTGGGACGCATCCTGCTAATCTCGCTGAGTCAGGCAGGGAGGGAGGCTGCTTGTGTTGCAGAACATTCTCTCCGTGTGGGGGACACTCTTTCTTTGTTCCAAGGCAGGGTTGAATTTGCAGAACCGTTCTTTGTGTCATCATATGCTCTTTCGCGTGGTCATGGAGCGGGCATCTGACGTTTTTGCAACAGCAAAGCAAAAGCAGAGAGGAAGCAGGCTTGGACCGTGATAGGGGGATGTGCTTAAAGCCATGTGCTAACATGGCAAGTTATGTCCTCTTTATCAGTGGGACTGCACAGTGATTTATTTATTTCCTGCCCCATTAGGCAGGAGAATGGTAGAGTTCCTCTGAGCACAGTTTGAAAACCATCATATTGAAATAATCCTTTAACCACACCCTATTACACCTTTGTCTGAACATCTGGACCATCTCAAGACATCCATTCCTTAACCTCCCAGTTCCCCGTAAGCTTATCAGGATCCTTGACAGGAAGCTGATACTGTTTGCCCGGCTATCAGAAACGCGGGTGATGAGGGCGCCCTGTCTGAATGTTCAAGGCTGGTGCAGCAGTGCCAAATGGCCCTGAGGGCAGAACGAACTCTTGGCCTGTCCCTTGGAATGACTGGCCGGGACCCCCTCACGCTGGGCTGCCTCTCGGCCCTTCTGTCCCTTGGGGAAGCGCAGCCGGGTCACGAGTACTTTGGGCGCTGTCACAGCATTAGCTGCGGGTGCCCCTTGGGAGGGGTGCCGGCAGGGTGAAAGGGGTTTGGTGCAAACAGGGCAAAGGGGTCATTAAGGGTTTAGGAAAAAGGTGTTGCCATGTACCATCAGGACTCAAAGAGTCATGTATTCCCCATCTCGTATCAGTGCCTTTGGTTTTCTTTTTCAGCTGTTTTAAATGCAAGGCTGTGGCTTCCTTGATGGAGTCCATCCATCTCATATTCAGTCTTCTTTGTTTCCTCCCGCCGTCAGCTTTTCCAGCAGGATTGTCTTCTCCAGGGAGTCTTGCCTTCCCATGATGTGTCCAAAATATGAGAGCCTCTCTTGTGTCAGTTTTGCTTCCAGGGAAAGTTCAGCTAGATTTGATCTCGGGCTGACTTGTTTGTCCAGGGGGTTCACCAAACTCTCCTCCACACGCTGTGTCGAGTGCATCCATGTCTCCCTGTCCAGCTTTCACACACATGGACCATGATTGGAAACATCATTGCACGAAGACCTCGCCCCCCCCCCCCCCCCCCCGTCTTCAGGGAAACAGCCTCACACTTGAGGGAACTTTCCCAGTCCCTTCTTGCTGCCCTTCCAAGTCTCCATCTTCTTGGCTGCAGCCTCTCTTTGAATGGGTGATAGAGCCAAAGTTTACAAAACTTTTCACAATTTCAGTTTCTTCATCGTTAATAGTAACTTTGTGCGATCTTCCGTAGACAGGATTTTGGTTTCCTACTATTCAGCTCAAGTCCTGAGAGCCGGTACTGGGAAAGCAAGGGGGTGATCTCTTTCGATGCCGGAAGAGAGGGACTCCCAACCTCCCTTTCCATTGGAAAATATCTCCTTTGGCCTCTGCTGCCCTCGCCAGTGCGGAGGTTCAGAAGGAGCACTTGATTTTTATCTGTTGCCTGCTTGACAACGGCTCATCCCCAGCTCCAAGATGAATCCCAGGGGATTCCCATTGTTCCGTGACTTGGGCAATGGTCCACAATTTTGCTAACGGGGCAGGACATCAACACATGTTTTCCCTCAGTCAGAGATTCTGGCTGAGGCAGCCTCTTTTGCCAAGTCTGAATACTGAGGAAATCACAAAGGCAACAGCTAGTATGAAAACCAGGAAACCGTCTGGGCTGGATGGATTCCTATTGAACGGTACAAAGCATTTTCCAACTTTTGAGTTTCAAAGCTTTCCTGATTGCAGGGTTTGCTTTCATCAGCACCCAGTGATGCATGTGCCACTGTGATTTCGAAGTCTGATAGGGCTCGCACTAGTCCAGAGGGAGCCCCTTGCCTTAGCAATAGGGTGGGAGCCAACGGCCAGTCCTGGGGCTGCCGGCCGTCTCTTGGAAACCTCCAACGTAGGCTCCAGCTCGCCTGCCAGCTGTTACCCACCCAAAGGCCATAACAACAAAGAATGGCCAGTTGTTCTTGGGATGGAGCTCCCACTGTGAAGAGGCCCGGAGGAGAGGAGTTCAGGAGGCCAGGAGGGGAATGTTCCCAGCCAAGGCTCCCGGGCTGGCCCTGGGCTTACAAGAGAAGGCATGGGTGTGAAAGCTTCCTTCTAAACCACTAACCGAGAAGGGAATGTGGCCCTTCATCAGAGAAACAGGCCGCCTCCTTTCTGCCCTTCAGGTACACACGTTAACCAGGTGGACTGCTCTGAAAGCCGCCTCACCTTGGGTTCCGCCATCACAGCGGAGCACTTGCTTCCAACCTTGCCCAGCCTGGGATTGGCCTATGGCATGACTTCCCCCGAGCAAGCTGGCAGCGTTCAGCTCACCCCACAGCCAGAAGGGGCCCGAACCTTTCAGGGCCACTTCCTGCCCGAGTCTGGCTGCGAACGGTAGACGTTGCTGCGGTGCAGGAATGGGCCCCAGTGCTCCGCCTTTGCTGGACTCAGCTGTGGGGACAGGCTTGCAGCTGCCCCAGCATCACCCCCTCCGCACACACGAGGAGGCTGCAGGGTTTCCCGGGACTCACGTGCTTGCTGTGGGCGCGTGCTTGATTATCCGCAAGCAGTGCCCCTTGGGTGCCGAGCCGCAGCCGCCCTGCTCCTCAGCACTGTGGGCAGGAAGGGGCGGCAGCAGCACTGGTCTTCCTGACAGCGGCTCGCATGTTCCTCGGGCACCACTGGCTGCTCCCCCGAGACCAGCAGTGCTCCCCGTCCTGGTTTTTAGTTCAGGTTCTGAATGTAGGATTTCTCACTGCAGAAGGCCCGGCAAGGATCGTCCGGTGATTCATTAGAAGTCTGTTGGGTCGGGAATGTTCAATGTATTTACCATACTAGGAAACATTTTCTTTCTTGGGGTCACAGCCACTGTGGGGAGATTTATTTCTGACATGAGAAATTTGTCTCTTTCACAGCCATTGAACGCTGGGCGTGGCATCAACATTATCCTTGGAGATATATGGCAAACGTTAGCTGGAGAAACCCATTTTCCTCATGATGCTAAGATCATCTGGAGACACTCACTTGGGACAGGTTGATGGGATATTTTCCTTACTGCAGGGAAATAAATAAAGTTTGCAAAAGGGCATGATAGGGCAGGGTCAGACTTCCAGTGTCAGGGTGCTGTGGCCATGGTCCGAACGGCACCCACCTCCAGCTGCTTCTTACTGAGATGGCAGGTGCAGGCAGAAGAGGAGATGACAAATGCGGCCAGAAGCCCGGACGGTGTGGCGGGCAGGCAGGCAGGCGCACGTACTGCCCATGCAGCATTCCTATGGGCTCGCTGGCATTCCACATCCCGGCTTGGTTGCCTGTCCCAGTTCCCCCTTTTCCCAGCCTGTCAAAAAGTCTCTTTCTCCCATTCAGTGAATTGGTGTTAGTGGCCACCTTAAAGGCTTCCTCGCCCATTTTGCTGCTCAGTGCAGAAGCTTCAGTACGCAATTCAACCAGATGGTCCCCATGTTTAGTTGGAATTGGCTTCCCGTTCTAGGGAGCAACAGAGGAACCGTGTCTGGTTTGAGAGAGTGGTATCTCATCTTCCGCCAACTTCCCCTCCTCTAGACCAGCGATCTCCAGCTCTCCCAGCCCTTATGAAATTTGGTTTGCCAACCCTTCTCCTTTCTGGTTGCCCTCCTCTGGCCCTTTTTTAGTAGTCTCCTTAAAATGTGGTACCAGAACAAGAAACGCTTTTCCAGTTGCATGGTCATTCGTGAGAACACGGTGGAACGGTTGCGTCTAATCCTGACACCAGGCTCTCGTTCGGCAGCCCAGGATCTCATTAGCTTTTGCAGAACTGGCACCCCGCTGCTGCCTCACGTGCTCCTTGCGGTTGGCCAAGACAGTCTTTCCCCCAGGTTCCCACCCATGAAGATGGCTTCACATCCTGACTCTCTCCGCAGTGGTGCGTGAGCTACTTTTCCTGCCTTCCTGTTAGCTCCAGATTTAAAAAGCACCCCTTCTGTGCTTTTTAACTATCCAACCAATTTATAGACACATGGGGCACCGTAGGGCAGCCCTCCCCAGTCGGGTGCCTTCTGGATGCTTTAGTGTCCAGCTTGGCAACCCGAGTCGGCAACTTTCTGTTCTTTGCCAGGAACAGGTAGCCACGATCCCACCTGCCGTTCCAGACTGGTGGCACCTGAAGGCCTTTGTGCCCCCTTCCTCGGCATCGCCGCCAACAGTCCCTCGATCCCGGGAGATGATGCCAGGCCTGAGGGGGAGCTGGAGGGGGGTGTCTGGACAGCCGCAGGGGAGCCAGGGCTGCCTGGGCCAGTGCAGGGTGGTGAGGATGCAGTCGGGGTGGTCCCGGTGGGTCTCCACTAGGGCTTTTGCGACTGGGGGCGTGGGTGGAAGAGAGAACGCAGCGCCCCGGCCAGGTCTGTAGGACGGCGTCCCCGTGGGGCTCGGGCACAGGCCAGGTGGCCGTTCGAGGACACGGTCGGCCGGTGCCTGTGCAGGGGGGTGGGCTGCACCGGCGTGACGAAGGCCTTGGCAGGGTGCAGCGGGGCCGGCGGCCAAGGCAAAGGTGGGGAAAGGAAGGGTCAGATCCTGCCATCCCTGCCAAACCCTGATGTTGAACAAGTCAAATAGTGAAAGAGGGGAATAATGACTGGGGAAAAACAAAAGTCAGCAAGGGTTGAACAGCTCCTGGAACGACTCCTGAACACCCCACCCCTCGCTACTACTTTTCCCCGCAACTATACACACCCTTTTTTGTTTTTAGCTCAGTTCAAAGCTTTTGTGGTTTCTTCTGTCACCTGCTATATTTTATTCTTGCTTGAATTGTTTGTAATTGTGTTTTTAAATGCCCCTTTTTATCAATTCCCACCCACCTTGGACTCCCTTCTGCCTTAGGCCCACTTGCCACCGGCCCTGACTTACCATAGTCCTGAGTTCATTCAAGCCGCTTTCTCGAAATTCAGAGCAGCGTGGCCTGCTGCATTTTTGCTTCTTGCAAGGTCAGGAACAGCACGTCACGGTCACTTTCCCCCAGAGTCCCTGCAACGCCTCCTTTAGCCACTAAGTCACCCCTACTAGTCGGTTAAGTCAAGGTCAGCCGATCCTCGCATTCCTTCCTTCACTTTCTGTCGAAGAAAGTTATCTGCCACGCATGGCAAGAATTTAGCGCCCTTGGCAGAACGTGTCTCCCAGCGGATATCTGGGTATTGAAGTCCCCCATTACTGCCACATGACATTTCCTTGAAATGCTGCCAATTTTCTGGACAACAGTGATACCCTCATCTTCTCTTTGACTGGGTAGACCACTGATGAGAGACTCCTATTCCTTGATACACTCATTTTGACCTGGACTGGAGTACCAGGCTCATCTTCTTCTATTTCTGGGCACGGATGAGTGTGTCTGAGACGCACTGCAACCCTGCCGCCTTTCCCATTTCCTCCGCTCTTCTGGAATGAGAGATTCCCTTCAGGTGCCCTGCTCCAGCCATGGGAGTCGTCCCACGCATTCTCAGCAGCGAATATCAGGTCCTGCTTGCCTTTGTCTTTCGGTGGGGAGCAGAGGACAGCCCTTGCGGAGACCTGGTCCATTGCCTGAGACAGAGCATCCCCCAAGTTTTCCGAGGAGATGCATTGACAGCGTATCGCTATCTATGCATTCTGTGTGCACGGTGTACCTTCTCACGCAAGAAGCCGGTGCATTCACCGCAACGAGTCCCCGCAACAGGCGCGCCGCTTCTGGTTCTGTCTCCTTGCTAGGAATTGCAGGCTGCCACCGCCGGCGCTTGTGAATTGGCTTTGGCATTGTTTGAATGCTCGGTCCCCTCGTGGCTGTTGAGATAGAGTGGGAGGCTCTGTGTGTGTGTGTGTGTGGAATCACATTGATTTTTTAATTGGGAGTGTTTGTCCCATTGCTGAAGGCATGGCTAAGATCCGAATGGCCATAGACTTTTGCGGAGTCTTGCTTATCTCCACCACTCCCAGTGCTACCCACTGTGACCCTGTGGAAGCAACGGAGTTGCCCGCTTCTGCAATGACAGTGCTCAGCCACTGCTCTGTGCCCGGATCGAGGCCCACAGTCCTGAGAGGAAGTTCCGTCCGTTTTCTGGGGGGCATGGCATGAGGTTCCCTCCAGGCTCGCCGACCACATAGTCCATGCGCCAGGCCTGGGCAGCATGTGGCCCCGAGGAAGCGTTCCTTGCAGCTTCCACTGCTTCCTGCAGCAGAGTCAGTGGTGAAGGGCAGCCGGAGCGGCAGGACGGCATGCACGGCTGGGCAGGGTTGCCCGCCCCTCCGTGAATGCGGTCAGCACTTGCATCCACTCGTGTGAAACTTGCGTTGTTTCTTTACCTTCGGGTAGATCAGCGGCCTGGGTGAACTGCTTACGTCAATTCTTTTTTTATTCTTATAAAAATATGATTTTGTGACATTTCCCCTCTTTATTTCACAGACAGGATCATAATTCACACGTGCAAAATCAGTCTCTCCGATGCAATGACATCTGGTAAGTGTGACTTTTTGTTGGTTCCTCTTTTCTGAAATCGCAGGTGAGCTGGGTTCCAATGAGAAAAACTAGTGGGAGGTCTTACATATTTGCTCTTTTAGGGTCAAACCACAAAATTCCTTCAGCCACACTATTTAAGAAGCCGGCTTTAACTGGCAGCACAATCCTTTCTGGCTCACTACTTGCTGCTGAAGATGAGATTTAATGCAGGCAAACGGCAGGTGGGAAGGGACTAATTTTTTCAGAACGCTGGAGAGGGCTGTAATCTAGACTGGATGCGTGTTCCAGATCCAGGACCTCAAGTGATCCCTGTGTCTCTGGAAAATGCTTTCTTGAGGTACAGTGTAGCTTGTGGGGTGATATTTTTTTTTGGGGGGGGGGGTGAATTAATCTATTGCCCTGAAATTGAAAAGGAAGAGGAAAACTTTGAAAGGTGAACTGAAAATGAATTATGAAGCTGGGCATACCTCATTCAACTGATTCAGAGAATTATTTACAGCAGAGAAATATTCATAGCTCAAGAAAGACGCTTAATTCAGCTGGATGGCCAAAAGGGGAGGATTTGCTGAGTGAACGGGTGGGAAGCAAAAGTCACCTCTGTACTCTGCCTGCCCTGTGTAGGAAGCCCCCCGTCCTCCAGGTTTTCACTGCATGCTCTTTGGAGACCCAGCCGAACACTTGTGCGTGTGTCGGTGTGTGTTTTATTGTGCAGTACTGAAACAACCAAACCGCACCGTAAGAAAAGAAGCAAAGCGAAGAAAGAAGGAAAGTGCAATATCTGTGCATTGGAAGGGAAAAGGACCGTCGCTTTGGTCACACACATATATATTATATATCCCTGTATATTAGAGAACCTACTATTGCCATTAAAAGAATTACACATATCCTTTGACAAAGCTCTCCCCGCAATATCCATATATCTATCAATTTGTAGATTATGCTTAAAGACTGCCCATTCAAACATGCGATCACGTCCTCCAGCCATTGTGTCATCACAGGCCCTGTTTCTCCTTCCGGTGTGGTAATGTAAGCCTTTCAGCTGTCAAAAGGGTGCAGAAATTCCATTTACATGGACCTTGCATTCAATTTCAAGATGGGTCAGTAATGCAAAAGAACATGCGTATCCTTACATGATAAAGAACTTTCCATCGCAAGAGGTTTCCAAATGGTTCCTTCCTTCTAAAAGGAAGCTGCCATTGTGCATTGCCAAAACATATGGAGAAGAGAAGCAGTAGCAGCAGAATGCCTGCAAAAATTGGCTGATTTAATTAAATCTGTATTAAAGAGACACTGTGGTGTCTGGTGTACTGGAAACATCAGTCTTATGAAATGGATAATTTTGAAGCACTCCATTGTTTGGGTGCTCTATCCAGTTCATTGTTTGAGTCTTGCTTGAAACCTTGTGTCTCAAATTTATTCAATAATATTCAATATTTGTAAATAGAAGTTGTGGACCCATGCAGTTTTTTGGTCTCTGTCGATGCTTCCAACAATACAGGTAGCTTGGAAGCTGGAAAAACAGCAGGACCAATTCCAGATTCTAACAAATGTTGTGGCTGCTTGTATTGCTAAGCCCCCATACCTGACAAATCATACTTAGTCTGTAAAGCAGGGAATAGTAAAAAATATCATCAGGAGAAACAAGCTGGTTCAAAGCAAGGATCAGCCTCAAACAAACATTTCCTTGACAGTTTTAAAAATCTGGATTTCCCCAAAATATTAATTTTGCCTGTGAAAATATATTAATCTGCAAGTGACGTGAAAGTCACTGGCTTTCCCAGCTGGAGGGGACACATTATCTGCTTTGAGACAAGAAGAGCCCAGTGTGGTCCAGGTGGGAAGCAGATGCAAATGTGAAGATTTCAAGCAGACTTGGGTGGAGGTGATTTCATTTAAGTGGAAAAGACCAGCACCTAGTACAAGTCAGCACATAAGCCCGATGGTATAAGTTTACCCTCCTCTATCAAAAGTTGCATCCTTTTGAATATTTGTGGTGGAGTGGAGCCCAAAAATTTCTGAAATAAAACATTGCAATTCTGAAAACACTTGCTAGGTTTACATAAAGGAAGACCGTAACACATAAACTTCTGAGGCATTACATTAATTAACTGTATTTATATAAACTTAGCTTTATAGTGCCTGCCTATTAATATGCCTTGAGAGCCCATTAATCAACTTAAATTTAATTTAATCATTTGTGATATGTCTCCTGAGACAAGTACTCCCAGATAAGTAATAACTTCACTACAGAGTCTAAATTGCTCATTAGATTACACAGTAAAGGGTGTGTTAACTGTGAGTTCCAAGTTAACGGGAAAAGTATCCAGAATCATTAATCCTCTGCATCACAACTGGAGCTAATAACTGGGGTTCCAAAATAAACAATTGAAGATCATCAGCATAGAGGAGGACTATGTAAGCTTTCTGGAGTTCCTTGAAAGGAAAAAAGGCCAGGATACATAAGAGTGAATGAATGAATATATTCTAACACGTCTTGCATACATCCAGGGATATGAGGGTGTTGTCTAACTGCACACACATCTCTGGGGAAAGAGGACACCCCTGCCTAGGAGCTCCCTCAAGAAGAAAAAATACTGAGAAGTCTTCACTGGTCCTAACTCTGGTCCCAGGGGTTTCATATACTGATTTCACCTGTTTCTGAAATTCTGGAGGCAACCCAAAATGCCACAGTGTGGCAGAGATATATTTCCAATGCATTTTATATGCATTTTTTTCTGCATCCAGAGAGATTATCTCTCTCTCTATCACATTTCTATGCTGCCCCATAGCCACAGGCTCTCCAGGTGGCTCATAGCCCTGTGTGTGTGTACAAATAAAAATAAACAACAAACAAACCATAAAACATGATAGAATTAAAATACAATATAAATGCAACCATTTAAATAGGAACAGGAGGAAAATAAACACAATATAACCAATAAAGACAATCGATAAAACAATGAAACAATAAACCATCAGCAAACCCAAAATCCAGTCTAAAAATGGATACTAAATAAAAAAAAGTCTTAACTTGGTGCTGAAAGCAAGGTAGATTGGGTGCCAGGCGTGCCTCCCGTGGAAGAGAATTCCAGAGAAGGCCATTTTCCTCTCCAGTTCCCCACTCACCTCATTTGGGGGGGGGGGTCACGAAGGAAGGCCTCCGTTGAAGACCTGAGTGGCCTGGTAGGGATTCCAGCCACGCTTGTTCTACCCTTATTTAATGCAATCAAATCAGCAACCATCTAGCAGTCCCTTGTCTAATTTTAATGACTTTTAGTCTCTCAGTCAAAATTGCAGTTACTTTTTAATGTCAACATTAATCAGTGAAATAGATTGATATTTAGCACATAGAGTAGGAGCTCTGGTTTACAAATTACTGTAATCAAAGCATCATTGATTGCTGATGAAACAGAACTGATTCAAAACTATAGCTACATACCCAATCAAGTTTAGGAATGGGAACACTTGAAAATGCTTCATGACACTCAGTTGGAAATCCATTTGGACCAGATGCTTTTCCTGTTTTCATATTTGTTATTTGGGAATTTCAGCAATCCACACCAGTAAAAATGTAAAACTGTCTTTGTGATCTATCTAGACAGGAAAAATTGAGCTGAAGAGATCCACTCCCATCAGTATCATGGTCTAATATTTCACAGACACTACTGTACAGTAGTGAATAAAATTTATATATATATATGTCTGATGTGTGAGTATCGCTGTTATCTATAATCACCTGGATAGTGTTTTGAAATATAGGTGATTTGCTGATAATTAACTGGGACAACCAATATTGTCTGTCTTAAGCAAGCTAATGCAATACCCACTTTTTAAAAATCCAGCTTGTATTTAACATGCTGCACCTCTTCGTAAAGTTATTCATTTGGGGAGGTAGCAAAGTGACCCATAAGGATGCTCAACCTATCATGTGGGTCTGTTTGTCGCTCCTTTTTAAATTTTAAATTTTGGGACACCCATAAGCAATAAGTTGATTCTGGATTAAATATTTGCTGGCCTCCCATTCAGTGGAGCATGATTTGATTGTACTCTCATTATTTTAAAAATATTCTTGTAATTCAGCAAGAATTTGATTTTTAAATGACATGGTAGATTAAGGTGACAAAGGTGATCAGAACTCTGGCTGCTTATGGGTACCAAATTCCAGCAGACTGGGGAATGATTTGCTACTAGCAACACTTCCATTTTATGGTATCTGATTCAACATAACAATGATGTGGAATTCAAGAAATAATCTGGTCCCCCCAATAGAAAAATAAGGTGGGCAGGTGATATAATTGTATAGTCTCTCTCAGCCAGATGGAATATTCTTCGTGGGCCAATCAGGCCAAATTCTGAACAGCAAATCAAGTCATTGCTTGTCTCTTAAGTCCTGCTCTGTTCCTGTCCAAGGAGAGATCTAAGATCTCGTTAAAATCTCCCGCACACACAACTGTATAAACATACTCAATGTTAGACAATCTGCCAAAACGTTCATGGAACATGGCTGGAGAGTCATGACTATGCATTAAACACCTCACTGCGTTTTCCAACCAGAATCAGAAACAACCATTGGCATCAATAATGGATTGCTGAACTGGGAAAAGCGTTTCTGAATTAAGATCACTACCCCTCAAAGTGATTGTTGCATAAATCTCTCCCACCCAGTCTCTTGCAAGTCGGTACGTATCTGCTGCCATCAGGTGTATTTCCTGCAAGAAAACCACATAAGTTGCATATTCTTTAATTTAGAAAGTACTTTCTTTTGTTTAAATGGATTCTGTAGTTGTTCGACATTGCAAGGAGTTGCTTTAAACATGGCATCATTGAGCATGTATTGTTCGCCCTTGTTCACAAAGAAATCTTGTTTTTTCAAAAAATAAAATAAAATCTAACTTTATTGTGAAATATTCAAGGCATACTTTATGTATTCTTTGTATTTCATAATACCGTCATTGAACTTTACACCATTATAAGGGAAAAGGAAACCTGCCCGAAAGGGAAAACATCAGAATGAGCAGAACACAACACAACAAAAATAAGCTTTCTAGTTCCAAGCGTGGCAAGATTGCAGCTTGTCACACCCTGCTCCTATGCCTCATCGATTGTATCAGTGATTATTACACCAGAAAAATCATTAATTAACCTTTAGCGTTTCTAATTAAACAGAGAAGAAAAAAATAAAAAGGGGAGGGGGGAGAGAGTATGAGATAGAAGAGGAAACGTTGGGTTGAAGCATAGCAAAGGAAGGAGGGCGATGGCAAAATGCCTAGAATTTTATCAACTCGAAGTACGCAAGCCCCGGCCAAGTGCCTGATGTCTTCCAGTCACCCGCCCCCCCCCACAAAAAAAGTGGAGGGTGAAATTAAACAGGAGCTGTAGCAGAAGTGGGCAGGCAGCTCCTGAGTGGGGAGGGCGGCTGGAACCCCGTAAGGAAAGTGCTGCAGCCTCTGTGGATGGACATGCCTTCCGTTCCTCCCGGAACTCCTCTGGAAATACGGGATTCCGTGGGGCACGGTTTGCCCTCCATCCTGGCTGTTGCAGGCCTCGGGGGAGATAGTTGGGTCTCCCCGTCCTGGTTAAATTGGCCCTCTGCCTGCCGCCCCAGCCTGGTCTGCGGGCTGCAGTCCTCTCGCTCCGTGGCTGCTGGGGCAGCCAGCCGGTGGGGGACACAGTGGCGCCCGTGGGAGGAGAAGGCGCAGGCTCCCAGCAAGGGAGCGCCCGGATATTCCCTCCCAGGCGCTCTGTTGAACCTGGGCTACACTGTGGCTTAGCCGGCCATTGGGAGTCAGATGACACCCGAAGGCAAGCGGTCGGCAGGCCCTCGGGCAAGCTGTGGCGCCTTGGGGCGGCATCATGGCCATGGGCAGACCACCCCTGTGGAGCAGGCCATGTTTGCGCTCTGGGGGCTTCAAGCTCGCCCCTCGCTTTCAGTGGGTTTGCTGGATGTTTCCTCAAAGACGCATGCAAATGATTAAACTGGTTGCATGTGACTCAGATTATTCACGAAGAACAAACCGGCTTTAGAGGTGGTTCCAGTGCTATTGAACCGCGCTTGGCATTAAATTACTTAAGGAAACATGCTAAGAACATTAAGAAGCACCTGCATGCAGCTTTTATTGATTTTTTAAAGCTGCTTTTGATTTAGCTGATTCTGTTGCAAGAAACACATGGTGGCAAAAGTGCCAAAACTCCAAAATCAATGATAGGCCGCTGATACTGATAAAGGAATTGCATACTAGCTGAGAAGTGAGGGCCAGGGCTTGGCCAGTCAGCTCTTTAACTGGCGCCTTCAAAACAACTTGGAGAGAAGAACCAGGCTGCCTCCGAGCCTCTACTCATCTCCATATTTCTGCGAATGATCTCATTCAGCCTCAACACAAATAACTCCTTCCTCAGTAATTATGCATAGAAGGATTTTTATCTTAATGGATGCAGATGATGTAGGATTAGTCTCTTTCTCCTGCCTGGGTTTGAAGAATCTTACTTTAAGCAGGAAGTCTTGGCAATAAACTATTCTAAGGCTAAGATAATGGGTTTTGGCAGTCACAGACTGAAGCACAGATGGCTTCTGAACCAACAGCAACCTTGCTCGTGTAGGTATTTGGGCATCCCTTTTAACAAGACACTCTCATGGAAGGGGCGTAGGAAGGTGGTGAAATGGAAGGCACAGGAAACAGACAGACAGTTGATCAAACCTACCCCAAAAGTTTATTTTAGTAAAATGATCACATAAATGCTTTATTGTAGTGAAATTTGGGGAATTGACAGCAGTGCCGTAAATGCTTTGGAAACTGTGCAGAATAATTTCTTTCAGAAATGTCATGGTCTTCCTTCCACAACCCCTGCAGCTTTTTGCACGCAGTGTTGGGATGCCAGTATAGACTGCACTCAGCTGCGGTGCTTCAAATGCACTGCTCTTCTTCCAGACAAAGACTTCTCAGCTTTTCACTATTTGGAAATGAATGAAAACTAAAATAAAATTAATGAATTTTATTCATAATCTGGCCCATAGCCGCTGCATTTCTGATTCAAACTCCACCTCTGCTATGGACAAGAGACCAGAAAGGGGTTGGCTGTTTTGGAGAGGTTCCAGGAAGGCCCTGCAGAACTCCGAACTTTCTCAATGTTTCCCTCTTTTGAAATCAGAACATTGCAGAGTCAACTGTCTGTGCAGACTGAGACTGTCTTCCTTGCGAGATGCTTTCATTAAGCCTGCGACTCCTAGTTCTGTCAACCGCAGTTCTGTACCTTCTGAATGTGGGTGACGTATTTGCAGTCTGCATCAAGCGGAAGTCGTTGTTCATTACTCAGTTATCTGCCCTCTAGTGACCCAAGGGAGAGATTCCTGTTAATGCACAGATGCCGGAATGCCCTGGCAAAGATGCTTCATTTTCTCATGCGTGATGCCAATAGCTAGGCAACACATAAAGCTGCTTTGATCCCCTTGGCAGCAAAAAAATCAGGAAAAGAGAATTAGACAAAATTGCTATATAAACTACGTTGGATTCAGAGAGTTGCTAAAGTTGATTTTTTATCTACAGTATGTGTTAATTCATTCATATTATTTTATAAGGTTTGAAATATTGGTGCTTTTTACATATGCATGTATCTTTCAGAGCATAAAGAAGTTAATGTTGCGAACACTGTTGTGAACGGGCTGGTACCAAGCACCAATGGCCAAGAGAGAGGTACGTCCAGTAAAGATGGGCGAGTTGTGTTTGACTTTCCTGGTGAGACATTTGTTACTTTTTCTTTGTAACAGAATGTGCAAAGCATTCATGCATATGTAAATCAATGCAAGCTAAGAACAGAGTAATAATTTTACACTAAAATTTAATAACAAATGTAAGTAAATGAACGTAAAAGGACGGTGTTAACTCTGTGTAATGGAGAAATTCTCCTGCTTCTGCAGAAGAGAAACTGTCCAAATAAATCTAAAGGGATAGCAGTCGCTGCCCGTTAAGAGGAGCGGCTTCAGCTGGGCATTGCAGAAGTCCCCTGGCAGCCCTGCCTGGGTGGTCGCAATGGGAGGATCTGGTGAGGTGGTAGAGAAAAAGGCAACAGCTGGGGAGCAGAAATTTTACAATTGTCTATTGTGAGCTCACACTGTATCAAAACTTGCTTGGTTGGAAAGAAGTAATTAAGTTGATGGAATGATTGTTTAAAGAAATATGAACATTTGGTTCAGTGCACATTTTGGATCCCGATGGATGGTTAAGCAGTGAGCAGCTTTTTCTAGAGCCCACATCACACCAGAGGTTCGCAGCACCTTTGCAGCTCCTGGCTCTTTAGGAACCCTTCAGGCAATGATCAGGAGGAGGGAGGCGGATCCCGCGAGGACAGATGTGCTTCTTGTCAAACGGGATGGCTGCTGGGTCAACGCCAAGGCATGGCTCTGAGGGGCGTCTGTGTAGCAGAAGGCCGGTGCCAAGGCATGGTCGGTGCGCATCGCACAGTGCCTCCTTCGCACAGGTGTTGCCAGCCAGGACGTCCCAGGCAAGTCCATCAGCGACAGCAGCTGAGCAGACCGTTCCTGATCAGCTCTGTATAGCAGAGCATTTAAGGTTGCTGGACAGCTTGGGACCCTGCGTAAAAAGGAAGAATTTACAGAATCTGACAATAGAAGAGCTGGAAGGGACTGCAAAGTCCGTCAAGTCGATTGATTGATCAATCAATGAATTAATCACTGCTGGCTTCTGAAATCTTGGATTCCGAAGCTAATTTCTCGCATAAATGTGATTAGATTAAATTTAAGTGATCATCCAACTCTGTGTAAATAACATGATTTACAATTCTTTCATGCTCCAACATATCTTCTGCAAATTTTGCATGTCCTCCTCAGGCTTGGATCCTGCTAAAATCTGTACTGGAAAGGGGGCTGTGACTCTCTGGGCATCTCCGCCTTACGAAGGGAATCTGAGTGTCAGCCATGCAAGTCGCCCACAGGAAATCCAGCTCTCTGAAAGTAAGTCCAGAGTTTAACTCATTTGCTACACAGGGGAAGGTCAGACGATTGACTGATTCTGGCGTTTGGGAACCGGATGGAAGCAAATCAGAGCAAATGTTCTGTGGAGGCATGGAGCCTGTTGGTGAAGCTTCCACGGCTAAGCTTTGCTTGGTGGGAGCCCTGCTGCTGCCATGCCCTCCCCGGCGCGAGTTGGGGTTTCCGCTCAGTCCTCAGCTCTTCTTGTGGGTGCATCGGGAAGTTCCTCCTCTGTTTTCTGTAGCCGTCTACCTACTTTGGGCAAGATTCCTGAGGAACTCATAGATTCAGAGCTTCTTGGATGAGTCAGATTCCCCAAACCAGCCGGGTTGCGCTGGTGCTCTCTGGAGCAACAGCCCTCCACTAATGAAGTGCGCTGGCGCTGGCGCTGTCTTGCTCGAGCCACGAGGAAGATGGCAGTGGGAGGAGGGCCGCGGTGCACGGAGCAGCAAAGCTGGAGCGGGAGGCGAAGGAAGGGGCGGAGGGGCTCCCGAGGGCCCAGGAGGAGGCTGGCTGGCTGGCTCGCTGGGCCGCTTGTCATCAAGCCGGCACCTATTGCCTTCCACAGGGGGAGAGCTCCTCCCCTCCTGAAGTGAACCCTAGAAACGAGACCCCCGCGTAAAGAGACTCAGAAATAGAGAGGAACGGGTGGCCTAGAACAGCGTTATCCTTGGCCGGATGAGCCAGGCAGCGTTCAAAAAAATGATGGAGAAGGCAGGCCTTTCCCTACGCATTAATTGTTGCAAGCGCCCGGTGGGTTGCTCCACAGGCTGCCATCCACAGGGACCGCGTGCCTCTCCCTTTGGAACACGGAGCGCTCTGACGTGGAAGGCCGGGCAGGTTTTTTATCTGCTCGTGATTCGCTTCTCCCTGTGCTGACACTGTTGGAGGCAGTCACTTCACCTCAGATCAACTTCCTTGGGGAAATGGTTTGAAGTGTCTCAAAGTTAGCGATGGGTGAAGGGGCCCGGTTCGAGGATCCTCCGTGCACAGCCTTGCACTCGCCTGGCGCTCGATTCCCACTTGCAATCAATGCACATTGTGCACAAATGGGAAAATAGTGATCACAGTAGAGATTTGTGCAAGCTTATCCATATTAGTGCCAATTTCCTAACTTTTGCAGCTTTCCTCCATAGACAAAAGTGGTGCTGATTTGGTGCACATAATCAGAAAATTTATGTAGATTGTTCTGGGAGTTGGGAATGGGATGAACTCAAGTGCAAGTTTGACAGTTTGCAGCTTTTTTCAGCAGACACATGCTCGTATTTGTGTTCATGGTCAGAGCTTTGAACAGGGTAGATTTCATGCTCTGTGATCAAAAGCAACATCCTTACACATCTCTGCTCGAGAGCCTGCATAGTGCGCACACTTCATGAGCAGATTCCTTCTAGAGGATGCTTTTTATGAACCTTGGATTTCGTGCTGACTGATCTTTTTAACTGTGTATGATTCTTTGGGGTATTTTCATACTGTATTTTAGTTTTAATATTCTGTTGTTTCAGTATTGTTTAGCATTAAAATTCCAGCAATTGTGGGAACATTTCTGGGCCCAGTTCAAGGCACTGGTGCTAAGCTACTGGCTGTGATATCTAAAGGACTGCATCTCCCTATATTTTACTCTCCTGGACCAGAGAGCATCAACTGAGACCCCCGTTTTACATGTTACCACTGTGACTAATTATAGGGAAGTAAATTTGCTTGGACACAGAATGTCCTTCACCCACGCCAAGGTATCTTTTAAAGATACCTGATGGATTTAGTAACAGGTCACCCTGCCCTTTGTTTGGCTGTCTGAAGCAAATATTAACTCTACCCAAAAGTTTTGTTCCCTTGACTGGGTTCAGATGGACAATAAGCTGTGGTGAGGACCTGGAGCAGGTTTGCCATGGCGGCTTATGGTTGGTTAATACGCCATGCTGATGAGCCTTGGCTTGTAGTGGGTTTGTTTGGCCCATGATGGCTGTCGTGTCGTCTCAGCTGCATGGGATGACTCACTGTGGGTCAATAATTAATCCTTTGCTATTATTGCCAAGTGGCTAACAAGCCAGAACCCATGCTAGCCACCCCCAGAGTACCCGAGGAGCACTTCGGAAGCATCTGCCCGGCTTTCCCTCTCCCTGCCCTATGGTGGTGGGCCGGGGAGTGCTGATCGCTTCAGCTGGCTGCCCGTTCGGCTTCTGAGAGGGAGCTGGCCTACTGTTGCTCTGCTCAGGAGTGTGGAAGGAGGACTACGCCGCTTCCCGGGGGCACCAGGGGAATCAGAGGGCCAGAAGCAGGCTGGCTTCGTGCTCTCTCTTGTGCAGAAATGGGATGTCTCTCCAGGCTTAATTGCACTGAGCGACACCTCTTGCTGATACCTGCCTGGGGATGCGCACGGAGCCTCCCTGTGCAGTGGGGGAAGAGTGTTGCCATTATGTCTTACTTGTGGTCTTCCTGGGCAGGGAAACAAGATGCTGGACTAACAAAGCTTTGGTTTAATCACAGGACTCTTCTTAAGTTCTTGTGCATAATTATGTATCCTGTAATTTAAAACAGTGGCTGCATTATCCTCGCAACATCCCACTGAGGCTCTCCTCTCCTCTCCTCTCCTCTCCTCTCCTCTCCTCTCCTCTCCTCTCCTATCTGGTTCTTCACTGCCCTACTGCTAATTCACCACTTTTCTTCTGACATCACCTTACATTTCCAAGTCCCACCATGAAAAAGGCACGCGGAACCTCTTCCCCCAGTCATGGCTTGAAAAGCACCTGGCTGGGCCAGAAGGTTGTCTTTGCAAATAGATCAACAGGAAGGTGGAAAAAAAGGTGGTGGGGGGGGAGCAAGTCCAGGTTTAGAAACGTTTTGGGAAAGAGCAGCAGTAGTTACAAGCTTGTTTGAAATCTGGAAAAAGAACTCTGCTATGCTGTGGCAGAACAGCGTGTTCCCAGCCCTCAGAAAGATCATCTGTTTGCGGTTTCCATTCTTAGGAACCCAGAGCAATGCAAGCAGAGCCGGCACGTAAACAGTAGATACGCCGTTTCACCTTGCGGCTCGGCTCCATAAAGATGGCACATGTCGCATCGGCATTTCTAAATCCAGTTGTTTGTTTGTCCCTCCGTCTCCCGTCTCTTCTGGCAGGGTTAATAAAGGACAACCGTATTTTCCACTCCCGGTTTAAATGCTGGGATCTTGCATTCGGAGCCAGGAGTGGCCTTTGGGTCCCGTACAGACTCCGGCTGCCTTTCTGACTCTAGCGTAAAATGTCAATGCACAATTGTTCCTTCATCCCTCTGGAAGAATCATGCTGTGTTTGCAAAGGTCAGGAACTGTGAGAGTATCATGTTTCTATGGAAATTAGGTGGCCGCTGCCGAAAGCATTCCGCGCACAAATTGGAGTCGATCTGATTTGTTCATGCCTTCTCCTGATGTAACAGTTAATAGTCCTTTTCTCCCCATCCCTCTTTTCCTTCCCTCTAATGCTTGCCAACAAATGCTGTAGAGGAGAAGTCAGGGAAATCAGGAGCAGGTATTTAAGCAATGCATCCTTGTATGGTTTTGATATACCTGTTGGTCACTTGAGCAAATGGAAAACCGAACTGTGGGCCCCAGTGATCCGAAATTCTCTGTTTTGCAGATGACTGGAAGTTGTCCCCTAGTATTGACGCTCATAGGGATGCCCAGTCCTGTGCTTTGGCTGCCAAAGGCTACCGGAGGGTGCATCCAAACCTTCCTGAGGGCAAGTCCCATGTAAGTACCCGCCTCAAACTTGTGTGTGCTACGGAAAAGTGAAGAGAGCTGTGGTGCTTTCTCAGCTGTCTCTCGGACGTGCGAGGTGTAAATGTCCCAGGAATGTGGCTTGCCTCTGTTAAAGGAAAGCGGTTTCTACATCCAGAAGAGCAGGCTGGGTTTTTGTTTTCACAAGTTTGCAATTCTGAAGGGGTGTGGGACTGCAATAGCTATTTTCATTTTTGACAGAAGTCTGCTCCAACCTGTGATACGAATCCCGATGTCATTTGCTTTCTCTCCTCACTGTCTTTGGTGGGGTTTTCTTGCAGCTTTACAATCATTCTCTTCACTCCTTCTTGCTTACCCGCTTCTTCTTTCTCTTCCCTGTAGCTCCTGCCTCACTCTTGCTCTCCCTTATGCTCCTTTGCCTTGCTATTTCCCCAAACCTCCCAGGCTCTGGTCATTCTACATGGAAATTTCAGAATGAAGCTGCAAGCATCTCGTCCAAAAGCTAATCACTCTGTGTCACAAGTGGTGTAAATTTGGTGCTTTTATATGTAACTGTACAAAGCTAGTCAATCTAAAAAGAAAAAGAAATGTTTGGAGCTGGTGCCCAGGTGGCATTCCTGATCCAAATGCACCCCCTCCACACACCCCTGCAAATGGCTGTCATTAATTTCCTTTTAAAGGGCAGGAAATCTTGCGTGTTTTGTCATGTTGGCCGTTTGTGCAGAGAATTGAATTAAGCAGCCCATTGAAAACCTTCCAGTTTGTGAACAATTTTATTCACAATTGGTGAGGCAGGTAACTTGCACGCATTGCGAATGGTGAGTGACAACAGGAGTTGCGTTCTGACAGCACATGAAGGGCCACACATACCCTGTCATGGCAAGAGAACAAAAGAAAATTCCCAGGGTTTACGAAATGCAGACAATGGATCGGCTTGTGCCTTTTTACTATGAGTTATTTTCACCCTTGTAAGTTTTCCACCGCCATTCCTCTTATCATGATGGGTGTAACTCTTTTTACAAGCTAAAATGCCTTTGCACACACCTTGTACGTGGTATTCAAGCAACTTAAGTTTGGGGTCAACTGATAGTTCCTCAGTCACTGAAATCAAGTCGCTTCAGAAAAGCTTGACCAGGTTCACCAGGTGGGCTTGGCAGCCACTTCCCAATCGAGCAGCAACAGGCTCTTCAGTTCATTACAGCCCCTGCTGTGGCTTCTGAATTTCCCACAAGTGTTCTGGTGGACCACCTCAGTGGACGGCCTATGTTTTGACTAGGTTTGTTGTGATATACTGGATGTCTCAAAATGGCGCCTTTTGAGAAATGTCAGATACTGAGTGGAGTGAGAATAGCACAAGGTAAAATGAAGTAACTGGGCAACTTCTTCTGTCATGGGCCACGTTCCGTCCTGGGTGATGTGTTGGGACCACATGCCAGCGGTGGGAAAAGTCAGGGCCGAAGGTGGAGGGGCGGCCCCTCTCCTTTGACTCGTTGCCACAGGCACAGCAGCTTCGACGAGCTGTGGGGGCTGAGGACCGTCGAACCGCAGAGTTGTCCAGCCCCTGCTCCATGCAGGATTCCGAGTCGAAGAACCCTAGGCAGCCGGATCTCCAGCTATCTGAGATCCCTCCAGTCGGGCCGCGATGACCCCAGGGAATCATGCTTGGCCCCAGCTAGGAGGCGAGCCATGCCAGGGAGACGTCCGCGAGCATTTCAAGTGCTGCTGGCGCTCCTCCGGCACGGCCCAGCAGCCTCCCTCCCCGCCATGTGCCCCACAGAGCCTGCAGGCCTCGTGTCCGGGAAAGCGGTGCTGCTCGCGCTGTGCTCACGCGGACTCGGTCCCTGGCAGGCAGCGGCACAAACGCTCGGCACCAGATGGGGCTCAGGGCTGTCGGAAGCGGACCAGAGTCCGGGGAGCCGAGCCCAGGGAACCTAGGAGACGCCTGCCGCTGAAGCAGGTTCCCCACGTGCCTGCTGTGCTCCAGCGTGGGAGGTCGCACCGTCTCCCTTGGCAGCTGGTTCCATTGGCGTGCTCTTCCAACAGTCGCAAATTTCCCCCAAATTTAGGATGTAGAACCGTATTTCCTGGGGATGTTCTATTTTGATCATTTGCCTTTATATTAGCACGTTCTTTTAAGGGATGCCTCTCTTTAACAGAGACCTGGATAACCCTTCTGCACTGGTCCTCTGCGGAATTGATGTTGATACTGCAGATTCAGTTAGGCAATACTGAGTAAAAACCTGAACTTTCCACATTTCCTGGGAGGAGCTGCAGTTCAAATTTGCACCAATGTGCCATCGAGCGCTTGTAATATTCTTGGGCGTTCCCTACGCTGTGTAAACCATAGTTCCCAAAATGCACAAAATTTACCCTCGGCTTCAGTGCGATTGCTGGAAGTTGTCTGCCTGCACAGCAGAGGGATACCGACGGGTGGGGCTCTCTCGGATTGTGTGCCGTGTGCTGGACCTTCAGGTGCTCCATGGCATTTTATTTTCTCGCTCTTCGCCCTGCTCTAATCACCAACTCATTTCGCATCTCCTTTTTTTCCTCCTCGTGTTGCTGGTGTCTTTGTTTCGTTCCTTCACGGGGAGGGCCTCCCCCACACCATTCCTCCCCAGGAGGGGAGCTTTGCATGGCACCCTCACACCAGCACCCCAGTGACCTTCCCCGGGCCTGCTCCAGCCACTGGCCACGCGTCCCCGCAAGCACCCACGCCCCGTGCACAGCGCGTGCCCCCCAGCACTGCCGGCCGGCGGTGCTTCACCTCCTTGCCCACACCCTTCGGCACCGTCCCACACAAACCCTCGGGCACGACCCCCGGGGGCCGGGCGCATGCCGGGCCGCCACTCGCAGGGAGTCGCTCCTCCTCATCGGACACATCCTCCGAGGCCCTTGGCACGCCGGGGCTGGCCGGGGCCCAGCCGAGCCTCAGCGCCGGGTTGAAACCCAAGCATGAAACTGGAGCAGGGAAAAAGGTCAGCAGTCTATATGTGGCTCGTTTATCTAACAGCACTTGCTCAGCCGCACCGAAGGGCTCCGCCGCCCACGCGGGGGGCCAGAGCAAAGGCACCTGTTTCAGAGCTGAGGTCACCGTGACACCAGCCGCCCCCCGGGCTTCCTCCGCCACTGGCCCTGCCAAGCCTCCCCCTCCCCCTCCCAGGCCATTCTTTAATATTGTCCTCGGTGGAGCGTCTGTTGCCGATGGCCAGTGCCTTCCCTCTGGGACGCCTCCTCAGCCAGAGCCCCCTCGCCCGGCCGGCAGTGTGGAGAAGATGAGGACGCCAGCGTGCCTTCCACAGCCGGAGCAGCCGCCGCCGAGCCAGGCAGAGGGACACAGCCGGGTACTGGGTCTTCTTCGTAACCCCCCCCCCTTCCTTGCTGGGGGATGCTTCTGCGGTTCCTCGGCTGCCGTGTGGTGCTTTTGTTTTCCTCCGCCTCATGTTTCCGAGGGGGCTGCCTTGTGCAGCGCGGCCCCCTCTCGCCTCCCCTCCAAGTTGGCTGCATGCTTGGGTTGCGTGTGGGGCGGGGGGGGGGGAGCGCCGTGATAGTGTGCTTGCCTTCTGATGAGCTTGGCCTGGGGGCCCCTGGGGGTGATGGCAGTTGAGAGCCAAGCAATGCAACACGGCCTCTGCTGCTGAGCGCGGCCTCCCTTCTCGCGAGGTGCCTCCTCTGTCCTGGACACTGCGTGCCCCCACCCTTGCCATGCCACGGGTGCCTCCCTCCACGCTGCGTCTCCAGGCAAGCGCGGGTCGTAGCTGCGCCACTCCAGCGCATCCACAGACAGGTGTCGGTCGGGTGGTTGCGTTCTGGGGGCGCGTGCTCACCTCTCCCCCTGCTCAGCCCCACAGAGGCCAACAAGGAACTGGCTGTGCTGGGACTCCAGTACGGCCATTCCTTCCTCCCGGGATCTCCCCTCCCACCCCGCCACACATGACCCTCGCGGCAGCACAGCCAGGCTCGGTTGAGGCAGGGCCCCCAGCCGGAGGGCCCCCAGGGAGCGTCGTGGGTCGGCTGCTCCCTGCCAGCCACGCCCAGCGACCCACCGCACCACACGGGTCAGTGCGCAGGTCGCATGAAGCCACGCAGGGCACAAAAGCCGCTGAGGCTGGAGGTCAGCTTGGCAGGCAGCGCCCCTCCCAGGAGGCAGTTGGGCCCAGTGGGTTTGCAGCCTTGCCCCCTGCTCCTCCTACCTCTGCTGGCACATATCCCAGGGGTCTTTGTGGCAGACTCCTCTTACGGTTTTGCTCCTGAAGGGATGCACTTTTCAATCGTCCTTTCCCACTCGGGTCACTGTTCCATTTCAGCACAACGGTTCCCCCCACCTGTGTATGCAAATAGTTTGCAAATAGCTTTGCTCTTATTTTTAAGTTTTACTCTTCTGCTCTTTGCAAGGGCACCATTGCACAAACTCACTTGTCTGTTTTCCCGTTCTTCGGCGGTGCAGATCCATATCACCGCTGTTTCATCCTCTTGGTGTTTGTCTTATGCCTTGAATACAAGACCTTCCCCATATGTTCCTTTGCCCCCTTTAATACCGCCCTTGATTTCAGACTTTAGAAGTTGTGTCTTAATGGGATGGAGCCATGAAGTTGTAGGGTGCAATGATCAAAGGTGTGTGGGTGTACTTACCGCAAAAATGGATTCATTTTTTCCATCTTTCACAAGTACACAGTTGGACAGAAGAGAAAAAACCCTCAATTTTTCCCTAAGTGCGCACAATCCCATACTAAGTACACCCACGCCCCTCAGTAACTATAATTGCTCTCCCAGTAACTCCATCGCGCTTTGGAAGCTGGGGCCGAGGGAAGTGCTGAAGGCAGGAACTGATCGCGGTCTCGATGGGGGAGGATGTGATGGCAAGTGGGAATTATTTATTACACCCCTTTTCCAACCAATCACGTCTTGGTTTACTTTTCCCATTGCTTTGGAGCTAGGTAGACACGGCATAATTTCTGCCCCACCCCCGCTGGTCCCGTCCAGCCTTTCACAAGTGTGCAAGTGGATAGACTCACCTTTCCTGTGTGTACAGTGAGCGGTACTTCATTCACCGTATCAGTTTCCTTGTAGATTATCTGTTCCACTTTGGCATTTCCCTTGACGGCTTGCAGGGTGAGCTGTCAAGGGAAGCCCTGAAACAGAGAAGGTAATTTACAGGGTAGGTAGTAATGAACAGATGCATCTGTGCGCTTCCCAAATAGTGATCAAAATTACGAGCACAATTGCATATTTCAGTGAGATGTAGTTCAGAAAGTAGGGCAGATGCCTCCAGGACATGCCTAAGTGCAGTTCCGTGACTGTGGAGGGAGGTGAGAGGCGGCACTGAGGAGGCGGCAAGGCGCAGTCGGGGTTTTCCCACTCTCGCAAGGGGGCCGCTTGGGACAAGCCGCCGTGGCATCACTGGGCTCGGGCCTCGTGGCCAGCCGCCCCCAGCCAGCCACCAACGAGCCGTGGGTCCTCGGGGGCTTGAGCGTGGGTAGCGAAACCCAGCCGATGGCTGACTTGGGTTGGCTCTGTGCCAGACAAACTCAGCCACCAGGAGAACACGGAAGAGGAGAAGCGGGCATTCGGATCACGATCCGGTCGTCCCGTCTTCCTGGCCCCTGCGGTGACAAGTCTGTGTGTGGGGAAGCACGAGACAAGCACAACCCGTTGAGACAGGGCGCCTGAACCGGAAATTGGCCGTGCCTCAGCCCCGCGCCAAGTGGCTCTCAGGTGTGCGCTCGACTCTCGGTCGCTGTGTAACTTGAACCATTTTCCTCAACGGGCCATCAACCTGAAAACGCAGAGCAGGGGTCCTCGAGCTTTTGCTAAAGGGGGCCAGTTGTCAGGTGCCTGCGGGGGTGGGCGGTGCGTGCAATCGCGCGCATGCAAGGCGAGATGGGGACGGGGGGGGGCAGTGGTGAGGCACCGGCTTGCTCACAAGGAGATCGAGTCCAAAATGACCTCGTGAGCAAACCATGCACCCATGCGTGCATCGGCAAGTGCAAAACCTGTGGGGCGGGCCCGTTAAACGGATGCGGCCCACGGGCCTTAATTTGAGGACCCATGGCTCAGAGCCAAGCTGAAACCCTTAATTAGCAGTGGGCATGACAAAAAGAGCCCCCCCCCCCTGAGAGTTTGGCTCCCTGCTCCTCGCAGAGACCTGATTACTGAGGCCCAGTGCCAGGCACCTCGCAAATCAGGGCGCTACCCTTCCTTTCTTGATATCTCGCTCATCACATAAGAAGCCGTCAAGGGTCATCCAGGAATTCTGCTCCAAAGGACTCCCCGCCCCCCATAAAGTGTGTGTGTACCGACATGTTTACACACGCAGCAGACTCGAATCCTTCCTTCCTTCCTTCCTTCCTTCCTTCCTTCCTTCCTTCCTTCCTTCCTTCCTTCCTTCCTTCCTTCCTTCCTTCCTTCCTTCCTCGCTCTGTGTCCAGAAGAGCTCTCCTTCCACCGTGCAAGCGCATGTTGCGCATTTCAGAAACTCATTCCTTGGCAGTGCTGGCCTGAGCAAAGTCCACCACCGAGAGAGAACTTCAGCGCTTACGCTTTGCTGGGCCGCCCACAGTGAGAACGAGCAGGTCAGGCCGGCTTCCCCTGCTCCTGCTGCAGCAGCAGCCGCCGCCGCCACTTCCCCGGTTCGCTCCTCCCTGCGGAGCGTCCCTGGCCCTGACGGCACACGGTCTCTTTGTTTCAGGACCCCTGCCCGCTGCTCCAGGAAGCCCCCGGGCCAGGCCGCAGCACGGAATGCTGTGACCCCCTGAGCACGGCCGGCAGGCCCTCCGCTTACCCCTCCACCACCATCGTCAACCCCACCATTGTCCTCTTGCAGCACAACAGAGGTAAGGAGGGTGCCTGTAGAAGCCTTTCCTCTTCCAGCTTAACCTTTCTGCTAGGACCGGGCCACCTGGCCAGGTAAGTGCCTTGTAGCAATCCAGCCATCACTGATTTCCGCTTGCAGGGGCAGAAGGAGTTCCTTCAAAGCCCAGGTTCCTCTGCGGTCCCCTGGGGCTGCTGGATGTTTTGACACGCAGGCACTACCGGGAGTGCACAGCCGGTACCATGGAAAGGTCACCACGGGAAGAGGCATCCGTGCAAACTTCCTACGTCAGTTTATCTATATTTAGGCAAAACCACTCGACTTGTTGCTGGGAAAACAAAACAGAAACTATTATTTTGACATTAGACTCAAGTTGCACAAATGTGACTGGCATATAAGCAGCATTCATACGTTAACCCAACTAAATAATGAGCTTGAGGGAGAACGGCAGAGTTTGTTTTGTTACTGGATGGGGAAATATAGTGGATTATTCTGAGAAATTGTCCCCAGCTAGAAGGAAGGAGACTGAAAGTTGTGCGGAAGGGTTTGCGGTTGGCCTCCTCCATCTGCAAACCAAGAGGTCGCCCCTTCTCTGCAAAATCACCAGCCAAAGTCTAGTTCTTCCCTTAGTGGCTTGTGCATGGAGGGAGGGAACAAACTGGTGGCTGCTAGAAGCTGCCTGGGGTAGGTCGGAGTCCCAGCTCCCGCCTCCGGGCCACTCCGCAAGGTCAGGGCTGCCTCCAACCCTGCAGCGCCCTCCCCTCGCCCTCCACACGGTTCTGTCCGTTGGGGCTGCAGCTCTCCAGGTGCAGCTTTGCGATCAGCGCCAGGTGGGCAGCATGGGGGCAGGGAAGGGGGGAGTGAAGCTTGGGTGAGAGGTGAGGAATCCTGGCGGCTGCTCAGCTGCTCCTTGAGCAAGTCGCGGCAGGAGTTTTACAGGTGGCCGAAACGGTGCTGGCGTGCGCAGCAGGGCAGAAGTGCCAAGGCGGTTCTTGCCTCTGCCACTTTCCCACACCTGCCTGGGTGCCCGTAGTCCTCTGAGTTTGGAAGTCCAACTGAAAGTGTCCAAACTGGGCAGGGCTGTTGGGTACCACATCCGTGTCTCTGCCAGGGCACACTTACACTGCGTGGACCCTTCCATCCTTCCGAATCCCTCCCTCCGAATCCCATTTCACAGGTTTTGAGACCTCCCTGTGTTCCGGGCTGACTCCCCCTCCAAGTGGAGCTGGCATGGGCTGGATCTGCCCAGAGATGCCTTTGCTCTGTCCCACGCTTCCTGCGCGTTGGTTGGCCTCAGCAGATCCCTCGCTAGGGTGCCCCTTGTACACCAGAGGGGGAGCGGTGCCCTGGGGACACGCCATCAGTGCTCCCTGTGTGGTGTGGAGTAGGCATGCAAGTCACGCCCGGACACGAACTGGCTGAGGAGGACCATGCAGGCAGCTGCGTCTGCTCCCTCCTGGCACCTCTGCCCCTCAGGCAGTCTGTGCTGGGGTCCCCGGGGGGCCTCCCCTGCTCGCAGGCGCTGCAGCTGCAGGGAGAGGTCCCCCCTTGGCACTTCTCTTCTGGTGCCTGCGGCAGACTTCTCTGGGCCTGCCCGTCAGCCCTGGGCCGTGCAGCAAGGCTGAGGCAGAAGCTGGAGGCACTGCACCTGTCCGAACACCAAGGACACAGGTTCTCTGCCAGCTACTGCGAGCCTTGGAAGAAACCTTCCTGCCCAGCGCCCTGACTGGAACCAGGCAGCTGCCCACTAACTCACCCGCTGTAATCCAGTTCTGCTGGCAGGGAATCATAGAAACAGAAACAGCACGAGTCGGGAGGGGCCTCCCGGGCCATCTGGTCTGACCCCCGGCTCCAGCCGGCTCCGCTCACCACGTGCCCACCATGTGCATGTGCAGCCTGTCCTTGAACACCAGCACCGAGGGGGCCTCAGCCGCCTCCCGGGGAAGCCCATTCCATGGCTTTGGCGAATACCGAGGGTTACAGGACTTTTCTGTCTGCGCATGCCCAGGATGCACCTTAAGTGGCCTTAAGCAAGTCATTCCCCCTAGGGGCCTTCACCCCACACCCCTTCTGCAATATGGGGATAGTAACGTTGCCCTGCTTGGTAGAGCTGTGTAGTCTAGTCTAAACCCCACTCGTTCCAATGGCTCCCGCCTAAGAACTGACCCCGGATCCACCCCACTGGCTCTGAAGCACTGGGACTAATTGGGAGTATGATAGCGATGCTGACAAGAAGCTTCCTGCTCAGAAACCTCCCGAGCTTGCCTGAGGGTGCGCACAGTGTCTCCTGCATTCACTGGGAATTCCGGTGTGCATTGTAACTTCTCCCACGCTGCAGCACCACCTGCTCACGACTTGAGGATTGTTGCTCGGCGCTGCTGTGCAGAAAGGGGGCCGGGCTAGAGCGGCTTCTTTGGCGGGGGCTCCGTGAGATCCCCGCCTGCCCTTCTGCGCAGCACGTGCTTTCTGAGCCAGTCACGATCGCGATGCGAGTTGGGGACCTTCGGCTATTTATTGTCTCTTGTCTTTTCTTCTCTCGCAGAACAGCAAAAAAGGCTTAGTAGCCTCACAGGTAGGACGCCTGGCATGCCCCCACCCCGCTCGCTGCTGTTGCCCCTAGCGCTGATTCGGCCAAGGAAGCCGCTGCTTCGTCGCCTAGCAGAGCACCTCCAGCGGATCCACCAGTGCAGAGCTGCAGCTGACGGGGCAGAGAAGCGATTATTAATCCGTTTGATTAATTTCTGTACCACCCATTCGACCACATTCAATTCAGTGACTCTGAAAGCTTCCAGGCTCTCTTAAGTCTGGAAGGGGCAGACAGATTCTTTGAGGCTGCCTTCAACATATTGGAGAGAAAAGGCAGTCTGGAATCCCAGCAGTCGATCCTTATAATGATATCATGAGTGGCTTTGTGTCCAGCCATTAGAAATGCCCTCGTGGCTGTTCTCGATAGCCAGGCCTGCTAGCGATTGACATCCGTGTGCATCCGTACAGGCTGCCCCACATTAATGCAAGACAATTCCTGAGAAGGGCTCTTAAAGGGCGAAGCTGTGTGTCCTGGAGTACCTTCCCAGAGGCACCAGCCTGATATTTAAGGAATACGGTGGAAGGGTTTTCTAGTGGGAAGAGTCATTTATCTCCATGTAGCTGTATCCCCTCATAGCACCCTTCCCATTCGAGGCCATCGCATATCCTGTGGCAGTCAATGGCATGAACCGATGCATAGGGGAAAGTACTTTGTCTGCATCCAGGTGGGCTTTCTTCTCTTGGAGGGCAGGAAATCACCTGACGGCTTTCTCCACCATGTCCTCTCTCAGGGAGCACCTTCCCCGCTCTCCCTGCCTTCACTCAGAAGCAGATGCGGGAGCAAACGCCAAGCACACCTTGCCCCTGTCCATCTCAGGTGTCTTCCTTCAGGCACCTTCTTGTCCTCAAGGCAAAGAGCCTCTCTCTTCTCCCTCTTCCTTCATAGCCTCCTGATCTCTCTCCTAAAAGCCTCCTGCTTCTCTTTTCCCTCCTCCTCTTACTTCCCTTGCCTCCTTTGTCTCAGCACAATCGGGGCGCATCTGCGGAACAGACCTGCACAGGTAAAAGCACGCTCGGGCAGCGTCATGAGACAAGAGCAGCCACCTTGTGCCAAGCTGCCCAGGATACGGCTGCCGGGAGCGCTCCGGGGGGATGCCCGCGGATGCCCCAGGAGTGGTTGGAGCGGCACTGCAGCCCGCTCGCCCTCCCGCAGCTAGCAGGAGTGGATGCAGCCCTTGTCCTCCCCGATGGCTCTAGCGGTCTGGTCCACAAAGCAACTTTTTCCCAAAATATTTTCCCCCAGTTTTCTCACTGGGTGAAAGCTTTTTCTTGGTGCCTTACTTCACAACTGCTGCAACAGCTCATTTTCCTTCCTCTTTCTCTTATTTTTAAAAAGTAGAAGAGGCTGTTGCCAGTGACATTGTAGGGAAAGGAGACAAGTGCTATGGATACATCCATGGCCTGGATGAGGCCATTTCTGGACACGAGTAGGTCGACTACTGCGATCCAGCCTTGCCTTTGGATCACTGCAACGTTTTCCAGCAGCCTTTCGTAGGATAGTAAGATGGTCCTCTGTATTTGGGCTCATTTCTGTAGATCGTTATTTATTATGTAGCATTTTATCCCGCCACATTTTTTTCCTTTTGGAAGGCCCTTAAGATGGTTGCATTTTACCCTCCCAACAAGACCCTGTGAGGCAGCCAGGCGACTGGCCCAGAGTCTCCCAGTGAACATCATGGCTGACTGAGGACTTGAACCTGGATCTCCCATCTCCCCAGTCTGGCACCCAAACCACCACACCAGCTCTCCCTTTACTTAGAAATTGAATATATAGTATTCATGAGTATTATTAAATACATAAATGCTCAGAGATTGACTACTCAATATCTTCTTCTAGAATTCTCCCTGGTATTCATAGAATCATAGAATAGCAGAGTTGGAAGGGGCCGGAAGGCCATCGGGTCCACCCCCTGCTGTTGCAGGACACCAAGTCACACCACCCCACTCAGAGGGCTGTCCAGTTTCTCCTTGAATGTTCCCAGTGTGGGAGAGCCCCCCACCTCTCCAGGCAGCTGGTTGACTGGTCTGTAGTGTAATGGATTCTCCTTTTCGCTCTCCCTGGAGATCGGGATATTTGCCTGTCTTCCTCCTTCCAGTCCTTCACCCTTACTCCAGGCATTCCCAAAGGTTACAAAGAGTGGCTCTGAAACAACAACTTCAAGTTCTTCCGGGTCAACATTTTCCGGTTTTCATTTAAAAAAACGCCTTCTCATTCCGCCAGGCCTCTTGCCCTCTTGCAGTCTGGAGGTGAATGTAGAAGACTCCTGGCAAACTAGCAGAAAGAGAGCAAACATCTCTCCATGTTAACTTCCATCATTCCCCTTCAGCCATCGATCATATAACCATTCAAAACTTGGGAATCAGTATTTCTAAACCACTTGCATGGCTGCCCTTCCCAAAATGTTCCCGGGCGGTTTGTGGAGCGTCGAAGTCAGAGGACGCGGCGACGTGGCTCTGGGCGGGAACTGCTCCGGGTGCTCTGCTGCCGGCACGCTCCTGCTGCACGAGGCTTCCTGCACTTGCTCGCTCGCACGGCCACTCGCATGGCTCCTGTGTCCAGCCCGCGTTACGCCGTGAGTTCAGAGTTACTGCTGGCGGGCAGGCCTTTCATGAGACGAGCGGCAATAGCCTGCATGCTTCTTGCTCTGGAGATTCCCTGGGATAATGTATCAGAGGCGGAGTGCTGTCTTTGGTATTATAGGACCGGGGCGGCTAATGCAGGGTGGATTCCTGGCTGGTTTGCACAGCGGCTTTGAGGGCCAAAGTTTGTGGAGAAATGTATACGGTCAACTCTGAGACTTGAATGAAATTCAGTGCATGAGCTATTACCTTCTCTGAAATTATTATTTTTCCCAGTGCAGTCCTATTGTAAATTATGTTGCTGCCTTGACTGAAACAATTGCACTCTTCATCTTTTGCTGAGGGCTCGGAGGGATTTGTGTCTGGGATCCTGTCATTAAGGCAGAAGTTAACGAGATTGCTTGCTTGCTTGCTTCCTTTGATTGCAGAACCGGTGCCGGATGCACCGGCCGATGGCACACTCAGCCAAGAGAAGATGACCCAAAGCAAGAAACAGGCCTCAGAGGAGAGGGGAAGAGCCGCAAGGAGTCCGCCACACATGGCTGAGTCCTCGCTGGATGACATTGGCATTCCACTGAGGGTGAGCGGATGAAGCATGTTTTCATGTGGCTGTGCGTCAGGCTTAGTCGCTTGATTCCGGCCCCTTTCAGCGTATCATTGTGCCATCATTTTAACTCATAATGTAGTTAAAATATTATCTCTTTCAGATAGATAATATCTAAATTTTATAAATATAAATTATTTATAAATAAATAACATTTAAAATGTATAAACAATATACAATTTTATTCTGTTTCCTATTCAATTAGAACACGGACCGATCGAAGGACTGGTACAAGACAATGTTCAAACAAATCCACAGATTGACAAAAGGTACTGTTCATTTACCTTATTTTTAATCTTCAAAGGGCCTGTGGACGAATATTTTGTGATGAAAGCCTGCGGGGATGCCCTGCCCAGGTTGTCAGAATGTCAAGCCCCAGTCTCAGGCTCAGACTTCAGGATCCGTACACAGTGATGCTCGCTTAACCAGCTGCTCCCGTGCGTAGCCGGCTGATGAGAACACAAGCGACGGCTCCGGGAGAGCCGGACTCGAGGCGCCTGTCGCGGCCTCGTCCCGCGAGCAGGATTTCTGCTTGGTGGATCAGGAACGTTCAGCCCTGCGGTCAGGAGGGACCCCGTGTCCTTCCGCTTTCCCGGTCATCTGGAACTCTGCCACGGGGCCGGTGGGGCAGCAGCGTTGCAGCGGGTACTGTGGGGGCATTCGGGAGCGCTCTCTGCCCCCGCTGATTCCAGCCTCCGCCAAGCCCTCCTCCCTCTGGTCAAGCTGCCCTCCACGTGTACCGCTCCTGCCCTCTTACCCTGAGGCCCACGCGGTGGCGGAAGGCGGCCTGGCGGGACACACAGCATGAGCGGGTGAGTGGTCGGGCTCCTTAGGGTGGGACGCAACGTCGCTGATTCGCGTGCGGTCGGCCGGGGCCTGTAGCACAATGCGAAGTGTGTCTTGCCTGCTGTTTTGTGCGGGGAAATGCAATTGTCAACGTTTCTCTGTGAGGAGTTCCTCACTGATGTGTCCATGTCTCCCTTCCTCTCTGTCCTTTCCCCGAAATGTGCTCTTTCTGCACAGACCCACCTGAGGAAAATCCTTATTGCCCTACCTACAAATTCCCCGAACTTCCTGATATCCAGCCCCAAGCCAAAGGTACCTAAATGTAGCCTGAGTATCTTTTGTTCCGTACTTGCTTTAACCCTACTCTTTCCTACCACACTCGAGTATGCTGTTAGTAGGATGCCTGTACTTTCCGTATGGCTGGATATTAGTTTATACCCGTGTGTGATGTGTGCAGACAAATGACTCTCTAACCCATTATTCTGGATTGTATATAATGTTATTCTTCCTTGAGTCCCATTCATTCCAGCAGATATACTCTAAGTAGGACTGACCTGGAGCTCTCTCTCTCTTGAGAGCGTGATGCATTGCTAGTCTCAAAGCGGGCAGCAACAGCGTCATGGGGACAGGCAATTGGGAAGTGATGGTGTTTCTCCACTTCCGCGTCGCTGCTGTCCAACCCCACTGCTTTTCTCTGCTGCAGAAGACAATCCCTACTCTCCTACCTACCAGTTTCCTGTGTCTACTCCTAGCCCTAAATCTGAAGGTAAATGGCCGAGGCCAACCAGCTTTCCCTTCTGCACAGACGCTGCTGCTTTCTCCTTAGTCTTCCGGCCAGAATCTCTGTGGTTTCTAGCTGCCCCTTGCTTTCTCCTAATCACCTCCTGCCAGTTAACTGCCGCCTTGACCGCTGGATGTCTTTCTTGGCTTGGCTTTGCTCTCCCAGCTTTCTAATAACCTCCTGACTAGCGGTGTGGAACTTGGATCTGCTTGGTTTTGTGTGCTCTATCCAAGGTACCAAGCGATGTATCTTCAAAGGCTACTTAGCATGTAGAGCCCAATCCACCAACGCAAGGTTCACTGAAGGGAAGAGCACCAGCCTTAATCCAAAAGCCAGGATGTGAATTGTTACTGAATTGGCTGGATTACATTGAATATGATTTTTAGCAAGGTCTGCACAGCAAGCGACGAAAAGGAGGGGGTGAAGACTTGCAGCAATCGGACAGTTTTGGGTGCAACCACAATTAATACAGCCAATAATGAGGCCTAATAAGGGGAAGGAAATGACCAAAGCTAGTTCGCCCAGGGTGGCCTGGCACGATGTCTGAACCTCCACAGGCCCCCTTGAGAGCCCACGGCTTAGTCCTGGTTGCCAAGGATGGCTCGTGACCCCTGAGCACAGCAGAGTGGGCCTGCACGGCTTGCTGGAAAGGCCTTCCCCGTCAGTGCCTGGCTGGGCATTCGCTCGCGTCCTGCCTGGTGGGCCGAGTTAGCACGGGGGGCAGGATGGCCTGGCCTCTGGGACGTGCATGCAGGATGTGGCAAGGGGAGAGGGAGAGGAACACGCCCCCCACCCCAAAGGGGAGAGCTCCAGCCTCTTCCCTTTTTTGTTGACCCAGTGGGGGGGGGGGGAGATTTCCGCATGAAACCAGGAGGGGGGCATGCTGACCCTCCCCACACAGTGGGGCATGTGTGCCCACCCAGAGGTTGCTCGGTCCAATGATCGCATGCCTCTGGGGCGAGGCTGAAGGGCCAGCGCACCTGGGCTTGTTCTCAGAGCTGTGTCTTCTGACGTGTGGTCCAGACCTGGTGCGCTCTGCGTGACCCCCCACCCTGCCCTGAGTGGGATGCCCCTGTCAGCAGACCGGTCATTGCATCTGGCTCCAGGTGGCCACCTGCCCTGGAGGGAGGAAGCCCCCTGAGAAGGATGGATGCTGTGGCTCGGAGGCATGCACTGAGCACGAAGGAGCATGACTTGGCCCTGTGGGGGTGCCAGTTGAGGAGATTTGCTGCACAACTCATCATCCCTGACCATTGTAAACACTTTCCGGCCATCAGAACCACGCCAGGACACCTCGTTTCTCTAACCCTAGCCCTGCCCTGGCGCACACCCCTCACCCTAACACAGGGCTAAAATTCCATTGAAAATGGGGCAATTTTGAAAAGGCCTTCCTGGAGTACCACTGTCTGCACAGCTCATCATCCCTGCCCCTCTCAGGAATGGGCATTGCATAGGGTATCGCTCTGCTCTGACTGAAGGTGGCATAAAGCAGGTAGCACACAATTCCAGGGCCTCCCAAATGTTTGGCTAAATGCCCTCTTGTGCTGTCCTGCGGTGGCCTCTCCCCGCAAGTGCAGTGCTGAATTTGCAGCAGTTGGAGTGCCCGGCCCGTGTTCTGAGCGTGGGCGGTTGTTGGCACGGGCCGCTCCGGATGACAGTTTCTTGCATCGAAAGCAAACACCGGGCTGGACGTACTCCTGTGCCGTTTCACAGAAGATGCTGCCGTCGGGATTTGGGGGCACACCTTTGTGTGGTCCAGGGCTGATCCCGGTGGCCGATGCATCGCCGGCCTATTAGATGTGATTGGCCCGATGGAAGGATGCTTGGCGTGGGCTTTCATGCTCGCAGCAAGCACAGTGAGCTCTGTGCCATGCATGTCGCCTCATGGAGGCCATGCCCATGAAGGTTCAGTGCATGATTCGTGGGGGCCAAATTGGATTTCAGCTGCTTGTTCATTTGTGCCTGAGTGGCCGTTGCTAGCACGGGGCAGCGTGTTGGACAGTGTCTTGCGTGCTCATAGAAATCACAGGGAGGCAGGTGATAGTAGGCCTGAATCCTAGAATAGTAGCCTCAGAAGGGGCCAGGGGCTACTGGGTCCAGCCCCCACTCAGAGCAGGCCTCCCAGTTTAACCATCCTCTCAGAGGGCTGTCCAGCTGCCTTTGAACCCCTCTCGTGTGGCAGAGCCCCCCGCCTCCTGGGGCTCCAGTATCATCCTGCTCTGACGGACAGGAAATTCTTCCGGATGTTCACCAGCATCTGGCTCCTGTGGCTCGAGCCCATTATTCCATGACCTGCACTCTGAGATTATTACCCGCTTCCGGGAGATACTGCACTGGAGATGTGGGTGGCCCTACACCGCAGCGTGAGTTGTCGCTGCTTCGCCTCGCTGCGCGACGTGGCTTTCCCTTGGCGAGAGACATACACTGAAGGAAAACTATGTGATTGCTGCAGCTCCACCACCTGTTGAAGTCCAGACTTGCCAAATATTGTATTCAGTGTTATGCATCCCATTTGGGAAAAATTCACCCACTCTGGTAGCAAGACTCAAAGGCTGCTTGAGAAAATATCCATTCTCTTGCGCAGCCCCCATTCACTTCAGCTGGATTTTGCCTCAGACGTTCCCTGTGAATCGGGCTCATGATGCTTAGTCATTCATTCCGTTTGAAAGATAACATTCCGCCTGGTAATATTGTTTAAACGTGTGTTGCTTTTCTCCTGCCGTCATTGACAACTGTGCTCATCTTATCATAGAACAAGGGCACAATTGAAAGGCTTCTGAAATGAGTGGAAAGCAAGGGCCGCTGACATGGCTGGATTTCAGAGCAGGCTCTTAATCACAAGTCATGCATATTTGGGAATGTCTCCATTGCAGAATCTTGCTTTTTACTGTCGATTCTCGATTCTCCTGACTCAAAACATCTGGGCTAACTCTGGGTCCTTTCTTGGTAAACAGCTCCCTGCCCCTTTAATTCTCTGCATTTCAATTATCACAGTACTTGAAGGATGAGGAACCATGGAGTAGGATTGCATAGACCAACAAGGTCTCTCTGTCCTGGATGCCCACCCCCCCATCAGATAAGGGCACCCCAAACTGCGGTAGGGAGAAGAGGCCAGGCCAGCCTGCTTTCTTTGTGCACTGAGCAAGGGGAAACCATTTTCCATGTGCGGAGAAAATGGAGCAGCCTTCCACGGAGGGGCACCTGTTGCTTGCATTCCCCTCGGAGCACCTAGAGCAGGGCTGCTTGTGCACAGAGAGATGCGCACGCGTGTGCGTGCAGAGACACGAGGCTCTGCGCAGCTTCCCAAGAGTCGTTATGTTCTGCAGCCATAAGCAGCAGCTTTCGGACCCTGCAGATCCCCTTCTGTCTGCTGCTACATCCTCTCCTTAGGAAAGTTGCAAGAGCGGCCATAGCTTAGACAACAGTTCTTTGAAAATGCATGTTTTGCATGTACGAGAATCCAGATTTGACCTCTGTCACTGTAGGATAAGAAGAATATTGGACAGCAGAACTAAGCTGGATGGATGGATGGATGGAATGATTACATTTTTGTAGTGTTGAAACTCTTTGGGCAGCTTACAGGAATTAAAACCATTAAAGTATGATGAAACATAACATAAAACCTTCAGAAATTTAAATCAGAATAAAACTGAAGTGAAATCAAGCAACAAGGTAAAGATCTAAACTCAATAGCACATTTGCGAACAAAACTGAAGGACTAAAAAGCCTGGGAGAAGAAGAGGTCTCCACCCAGCTGGGACCAAAAGGACCACAGAGCAGGCACCAGGCCAGCCCCTCCGGGGTGGATTTCTGCAATGGCAGGCATGGCAGCACTGCTTAGGCACACCCTCCACCTCACACGGAGGAGGTCTTCGGGTCAGGACAGGCGGGCTTGAGAGCAGGCGGTTCTTCGGGGAACCTGGCCCCAAGTCATGAGATCGTCAAAAGTTCGAACCAGCCCTTGAGTTAGGCCCAGAAATGGTTTTGAAGGCTGCACAGGTCCCAGATCATAACATGGTTCTACTTCTCAGTTCTCGTGGGCGACCTCAGTGCCCTTGTAGACCACTTAAATGTTTCAGTTTCCAGAACCGTGTGATGCGCTGCACGAATGGGCATCAGGGACAGGGACCACTGTGGCTGAGCTAACTCATGCTAGATAAGCTGTGGTTGGTCCATCAGCCTGGGCAGACGATGGGTGAGCAGGCCCAGACCACAAGCCAGATCTTCCGAAGGAGTGCAGAACAAGGCCCTTCAGAACAAGCTGGGTGAAAGTTGGGTGATGAACCACTGGCTAAAGGGACCTCCGTCTTGTCCGGATTGCTTCTCGATTGACTGGCCCTCATCCAGACAACTCCATCTTTGGACAACTGGGGCCTCCTGGGCCATCTAGTCTGACCCCCCGCTCTAGCCCGCTCCGCTCACGACATGCCCACCATGTGCATGTCCAGCCTGTCCTTGAACACCCACACCGATGGGGCCTCCACCACCTCCTGTGGAAGCCCATTCCGTGCCCCAGGGGTCCTGACTGTCAGGAAGTGCTTCCTGGCATCCAAATGGAACCTGGGTTCCCTGAGCTTTGCTCCGTTGGAGCACCTCCTGCCTTCCTCTGCAGGGGAGAACAGGTCCCTACCCACAGGTTTTATCAGTGACCTGCCCAGAAGTTTCCTGTAGAGGGAACTGCACGTTGCCCTCGTGGTCCGACTGCCGGCAGTGCTTTCTGCAATCAGCTGTTCTCGCAGGAGTGGGGCTGCTGATGCATGGTTCTTCCCGCAGCCCAGCCAGCCTGCCCAGAGGGGCACCCACACTGAGGGCTGCCCGTTCACCGCCAAAGTACAGGGCAGGATTAAGTCTAAGCCACCTCGTGCGGCAACTTGACGTTTGCAGATGTAACGTGATCTCCTGCACAGAGTGTGTGAGTGAGACACTGACGCACTGCCCAGCTTTCAGCCCAGCCCACTTTGCAAGGTTGTTGTTGTGAGGAAAAGATGGGGGGGGGAGGAGGAGGAGGAGGAAGAGGAGAAGGAGGATTCTGTAACCTGCCTTGAATAAAGTTCTGTGAAATTTGCAGTTAAAATGTTTTAAAAAGTTGGGCAACGCTTCATTACCCCTAGGTATTGTTGGCCGGGAAGTATCTCTGCTTCAGTGACTTGAAAGCACTGTTAAACCTCCCCGCTCCTGCAGCCTTGACTTCAGTATGGTTGATGGTGGTGAATTCCATGTTTTAATGCATGGCTCACTTGCTAATTTAAAAGTCAACCCATGATCCGCTTGTGAATTCTGTGATGGCCACTGGCCTTGGAAGATGGTGCTGAATGGTCCTGAGGTAGGTCCCATCCTACCTGTCAAAGGTATTGCCCATGTATATTTGGGCAGGAGGTGCAACCAGGGCTACATTTCATTAAGTGTTGCACATCCAGTAAACCTGCCTGGCCTGACGTGTCCTCCTTGCTCCTTTTGAAGCAGGCGCAGCGGCTTGAAGCAGCCCAGAAGCCGCCTGGCCAACCAAACATTCACCGGTGTGCTTTCTGTCTAGCTGTACTTGACAGCTTGTTGGACGGAGAGGCTGTCCAGCTTGCCCAGTGTTGAATCTTGTTGAATCAGTCATCCTGCAAGGCCGTGCCAAAGTGGGCCTGCTGTGAGCTTCCAGTGCAGCCTCTTACTGGCACTTCTTCAGCAAAGTAGGGCCCCGGCCACGCCAGGTCTCCTTTCTCCTCTTCTTCTGCCGATGCAACTCTCCTTCAGGTCTTGCTCTGTTCGGGCAAACACAGTTTGCATCTACGGTGTCGCACGCGGTTTCCCTTGCCAAGCTTCCTTGTCCATTTTTTGTCAGAGGAACGAAAAGGGATCACTGGCCCTGGGGCCCTCTCCCCGGAGACCCACCATTGCTCTTCCAGACCCTCCATCCTGCCCAGACAGCTTTGGCTGTGGGGCAGTACAGAAATGAAATAACAATAACAATACTTACATTGGAGTAGGATCCAGCGGTGCAGGAACCAAGACCTCACAGATCGGTTCATCTCACTGAGCTTCTTCAGAGTCGCCATCTGTTGCCAAAAGGCAAAACCTTCAGGCCAGATTTCCGACTGGTGGCCATCCACTTGCCCAGCCAGCATCTAAATTCTTCCAGCTGACCCCCCTGGTCCTAACTGAGTAGCTCTGAAACTGGTCAGTGGTTGCCGTCGACTCCACTGTGGACGCACTCTGTTCACTTGGCGGAAGAGAAGGCTGGCCACGCAGCCTTCCGCTGACATGCCTGGGCAGTGGCCGGGTGAAGGCACCAGGAGGAGCCGTCTGGGCAGGATTCCGTGCCTTCGCAGAAGCCACGCTTTTGTTTATGCCCCGAAAGCCCCAGGGGTGGTGTTTGGTAAGGACATGGCAGTGGGTATAGGCTGTGCAATAGGTCAGAGTCTGCAGGGTTAAGGGCTGTGGGCTGGGCATGTCGAGGGGATGCCTTTATCCCTGAAGCATCCTGGGTGTTCATGGGCAAAAACACGAGTCAGCACTTGGGGAGTCCCTAAACTGGTTCCAACCAGTCCTGGACATTGAGGAATTAGGCTCCACCTCAAAAGCAGTCCGTTGGGATACAGATAAAATAGCTGCTCCTACACAAAGCATTCCTGGGAGAACTGGGGAGCAGTCTACCAAGGGTCTGTGATCTGGGAGACTCTGTGGGGCTCTGAGAGGCTGGAGCTTGTGGGAAAGTCCTATAAGGTTTCTAAAAGTGGGGTGCCTGGTAGACCTTATTGGGTGCCACGGGCTCCTGGATGCCAGCGTAGCCCCTTCACATGTCAGCCTGACAAAACCATCCCTAACATCCCACTCGGAGGGATATGAGGCAGGATTGCGCTTTTGGCATTGAGCTTAAAAATTAAAAAAGCATGGTGAAATCATTCCTCCAGCAGAACTGTGTATCTGGGAAACCGGGGCCCGTGGAAAATGTGTAACGCTAACACTCCACATCCAACCCTTGGCATCTTTTTGTTGGGTGAATGCTTTTTAAGCAGCGCGCTTCCTTTGCTGGGAACGGGGGTGTGCTGGGGTGAGAGGTGACGCCTGGGAGAGTAGACCAGCAGTTATGTTTGTGCAATCAAGCGGCAATCCTGCATATGTATACTGTGCGAGCCGAGCAAGACTCACTCCTGGCTGGATTATATCGGTGGCAGCAGTATGTTCCCGGCACTCACTATGGTCCCTGGTCAGGCTCTGAGGTCTCTGCCATTCCCCCCAAAAGGAAGATTCTGATCCCTTTCCCTTCCTGCTCTCCTCCGTCCTCCGTTTCGCGTGAACCGTGCCCAGTAGGACTCACAGCTGGTGCTCAGTGGAGACGTGCGGCCTGCACAGGCGTTCTTATGCTTAGGAACACAGAGAGGTTGAGGGACCCGAGCAGCGTCCCGGCACACAGTCCTTGCCCCGTATCATACGCCTGGCTTGTTCATGTTCGAGAATGGACTCTGCAGCCCTCCCTCTATTCCTGTACCATCTACTTGTGCTGCCATGTTCTAGATGTATGACATCAATGAAAATGGTGCCAGAATTTGCCCCCAGAATCGTGGAGGAACAGAAGGCAAAGCCCCTTAGTCATGCAGGCATGATGCAACATCTGAGGGAATTGTAAATTATGTTTGTTTTCCAGATGAAGACTCTGATTCCTATCTTCCGCAGTACTCCTTTTACAAAGACTGTAAGTACTTGATGTTTGAATGCTCAGCGTACGCTTAGATACATGCTTAATACTCTAAATGGTGTGAAAGAGGGGACTGCTAATTGTATCACATTACTCCTGGGAAAAAATGTGCTTCTTGAATGTCGAAGGTCGGCCTTTTAGAGTATTAGCCCCATTGTTCTTCCTCCGAACATCGCATGATTTGGAACTATGTTCTGTTTTCAGTGAGCGCGCAAACGTCAGTGCCCCGTTCCAAGAGTGAGAACGACACCATCGACTCGGAGAAGGTGGTCAAGCGGTCCGCCACTTTGCCTCTGCCGGCTCGCTCTTCCTCCCTTAAGTCAAGCCCCGAGAGGTAAACCATGCTGGGTGAAGGGCCTCCGTTTCAGTGGGATGCCCGCTGAGCAGTGGCTTTCCGTTATGTATTTGTCTTCGCCAGGACCATCTTTGAGCTCTCAGTGTCCAAATCTAAATGTCTTAGTTACCATGTCCCATTTATTTTAAATGAACCTTATAAAGCTTTGATATCCAGACTGCATCCCCGTCTCTCTTTTGTCCTTTTATGCACCTTTCAGGTTTGCCAGGTCCAGGTCACTTAGATTTTAAGAGCCACAGAAAACTTCTTGAATTGGCAATGAGCCAGTGCAGTTGATTTTAGGATAATCTGCACTGAGGACGTTTTCTAGCCCATTTAATCTAACTGGTATTCAGAATAGGTCTGCACTGACACGAATTTTGTTGGTGTACAGGTAGAGCTGAAGGGGGGGAATAGGTCTTTCTTTACCCCTAATATGGGCTATGAATCCACAGCTTGCTTCCTTTGGGTACAAACCCTACTTTCTAATTAAAATAGGTCAGAATCGTATTGGCTGGTTGTATTTGGAGTAAGTCATTAAGGTTTTTTCTAACTAAGCTAAGGAGACCCTGTAACCATGAAACATTCCCTCAAGTTCCCTCAGCCCCTTCATTTTGACATGGAGCAGCTCTGGCTCCCGGGCTTTGCATTTTGCAGGCACAGCAAGCACAGGGTACCACGTTTAGGCCCAATATCAGATTCATCCTTTCTGAGGTCTCTCTCAGTCTGTCTTGCATACTGTCTGCTTTCTTTGTGGCCTAAGTATTTTCTTTCTGCTTGAAGTCTCCCCCACCCCTCCAGAAAAATTCCAACTTTGCACAGCTGCATTGCTCAAAACTGTTGGAAGAATTAAAAAGGAAATAAAAACATACAATTAATCCATGCTTTTTTAATTCCACCCACTATGCTGTGGATAATGAATGTCTCCTGAATGTTTCTTTTTGTATCTCTTCTATTCATTATTCAGCCTTCATATGGTCCCCACATCAACATATGCTTTTTTGCAACAGAGTGTCTTTTCTCCCCAGTATGGCATTCTATTAATTGCACAGGGATTGTATGTTCCTTGCTATGCCAATAGCTGCTTACACAAGTGTAACACCACTGCCGCTTCACTGGGATCCTGTCCACTCCCAGTTGAGAAGGAAACAGTAGTGGTAGAAATGCAGCTCAGACGCTGTTTCCGGAGCAGCCTCATGGGCAGCGGGCTCCGTGCCCATCCTGCACGGCCGCAGCGCAGCCAGCCAGCCGCACGGTCTCATTTTCCAAATATTCTGTTTACAGGAATGACTGGGAGCCCCCAGACAAAAAGGTGGACACAAGGAAGTACCGTGCCGAGCCCAAAAGCATTTATGAATATCAGCCGGGGAGGTCCTCAGTTCTGAACAGTGAAAAAGTGGTAATGTTAATTTTGTGTTACGTGTGTGTGAGAGCGAGTGTGCGGAAGTGTGCAGGCATGCATGCATGTGGGCTCCCAGGTGCGTGGCCCACATGCTGATTTTACATTGACTTGTGTTAAGTGTCTGTCTAAAATTCGTTTAACATCTTAATGCCCTCAATTCTGCAAAAACAGGCGGTAGGATAAAACGTCCTCCTCTCCGTTTCCTTGTGAGGCGTGTGAGTTATTTGCAAAACCCTCCTTGGATGGCGGTGCTGGTGTTCAGTGGGTTGCATATTAGGGCATCCAGAGCATTTCAAGCAGCTGCGAAATCCAGACTGGCTGGCTGGAACGCGACTTGTGTGAGACTTCCAGGCAAGGCAGAGCCGTCTTCGTAGCTCGTCGGTTCCTCTCCTTGGTTCTTGGGCTTTCCTCTCCCATTCCCCTTAAATGGGTTTTCACTTGTGTTGTGGGCTTTTGAAAGCCTAAAGCGACAGGGTGCGGGGTGGGGGGACCTCTCTCCTCCGTTCTCCAAGTTCTCTGTGCAGGAAAGAATCCTAAGGTTTTGCTACAGGAAGCAATACGGCATTCTGGTTGCATTTTGCAAAAGTCCAGTTTGTGGGAATGAAGCGGTTTCTCCCCCCACCCAACCCGCGTGGAGGAGTGGAAAGAAAGGAGAGAGCAATCCCCACGCATGAATTGGTGTTCGCAGAGAGCACGTCACTGCTGCCCCAGCCCCTCTTGCAGAATCCCAGGGCTCAGGAAAGAGACCATTCTCCTTCTACAGAGGACTTTAGGAAGAAGCTACAGTCCTGCACACACCCCCTCCCTTCCCATGGGCAGCCCCCTCCCCCAGTTTACTGCTTGGTGCTAAGCCAACACCAGCTGACAAGCCATGGCTCTTTTTCATGGATTCGAGTTGAGAGAAAGGTTCTGCCAGCAGAATTTGCAGATGCTTTGAGGGGAGAGTCGGGGTGTGAACCTTTTTCAAAAATTGGGAGGAGGTTGGTGATTCCAGGCATGCGGGAGAACTTGCTTATGGGTGAAATTCCTATAATTAACCAGGTGGCTGATCTTTCTCTTCCACCCGAAGCTTCTCAGGAATGGTGCCGAGAGCATTGCTGGGCATGGACAGCATGGCTCCCAGCGCCATTGCAAGGCAATGAAGGCGGCTGCCGCATCCTCACTGGTTGGGTGAATGCACATTGATTGGCTTGAATACCCTCTTGCCTAGATACTTGGTTAATCCCGTTGTAAAAGTGGTCAACCAAATAGCCTTTGCCTACCTATTTATAATTTCCCTCACTAGTTAGGGTTTTGAAAACAAGTCTGTCTTCTAATTTAGAGTCAGGCACATCACAAACAGCTGTGGGACATTTAAGAAATCTGGAGAGTGAAAAAGGGCAGGAAAGCCTGTGAGGCGTGTTAGAACCCGCGCGAATTCCTCCCCCCGGCCGTCCCTTGTGTGCCTCCTGCTTCGTGGCCCCTGCGCATCTCACAGAGGGCTCTGCGCCCCCCACTGCCAACCTCTTGGCCTCTCCCTGCACCTCCGGCTCAGCCCCCTTGGCTTCAAGGGAACACACCCGTTTCTTGAGAGCCAGGTGCTCAGTACACAAGCGCACCTGGGACCTCTGCCCAGTTGGCGGACGGACGGACTGATGGACGGACCAACCTGGGGCATTCAGTGCACCGGAGAGCCCCCGCGGCCCTGCTGGCTTTTGCCTTCACAGCTGGGTTCAGCTGGGATTAAATCTCCCCACCTGGAAAACTGGGGGCGGTTGTTTTTCCTTTCGTCCTCATTTTACTGGGGGAAGGTGATGGGTTTCTTTTTAGCAATTGGTTTCCAGTGTGCGCCTTGCAAGTGAGGAGGGGGGCAGTGTTTTCACCCTTGTTCTCCTCGTCCTGTTGCTCCCCTGCTCTCTGCTCTCCTGGGGCTGGGCTCAGATGCAGGGCCACTCCCCCCCCCACCCCGGTGCTTCGGGAATGGGCTCCCTGGGAAGTCCGGCAATCGGCTTTGCTCCAGGAAGGCGGGACTGACCGCTCCTGCCAGCAGCCCGACTGGAGGGCCTTGCTGGAAGGCTGCCCTGGCTCCCAGTGACTGGGCGGGGTGTCATTTGCTCCCCCAGGAGTGGAAGCTGGGTGAGAGGTCCAGCAGAGGGCACAGTCACAGATGGGTCTTTGGAGGGGCAACAGGCAGGGGGCAGGTGATGTGCGCGAGGGGCATTTGGACGCCTGGGTTCCCTTGTGTGTGGTTGAAAACGAAGCAATGGTCTGGACTCTCTGCTCGGGTTGACTGTGTTTCCAAGCCTTCCTCTGTGGGCTTCTCCGTCGCCTGCGGTGGCCTTCGCCCTGTGCTACAGGCAAGGCTCTGTTCTCTGGCCAGCACCGGGCCTCTGGACAGTGTCGAGCCGGGCTTTGCTTGTCCTTCTCCCCTCTAAGCTTGGGCTTCGTTTCAGTGGGGACTCCCTGCGGGAGCAAGGCTGCCGTGATGGAAGCGCCCGCTGGGCTTCCCCCTGCAAATTAGCTCCCAGCAATACTTTTGCAAAGGGAGACCCATCTGGGATTTCGCCCTCTTGCTGTGCCCTTGGCTTGGCTTCCTCGGATAATCTATGAGTTTGGAATGATCACCTGGAGTAGAGAGAGAGAGAGAGAGAGATCAGTAGAGCCCTTGGCTTCTCCTTATCTGGTTGCTGAACTTGCTCGTGGGCTGACACTCGGTCACAGGGGTCTTGTGCTTGGAGAACTGGTGGTCATCCTGTTCCCATCCTGTCTGATTCCTCTTCCGTATCCATTTCATCTAAATTCTTAATGTTTAGGGGCATTATGTGTGTTGGCAGCTCAAGAGAAGAGAGTCTCTGTTTCATCCCCCTTGGAGACTTCTCTGTCAACATCCTGGCCTGGTTTGCCCATCACGAGAAACAGCAGTGGGCAGTTGCCCTGTGGCCTTGTCACATCAGCTGGGCCCGGCTGTGGCCCCCACTGCCACTTGCTTCAGGCTCAGAGCCTTGGCAGGAAGGTCTGCTGCCTGGCCCAGGCTTAAAACCATCGTCTGTCAGGGCATCCGGGCCCAGATGCTCCGTTTTCCTATTGGTAGCGGAAATATGCCGGAGAGTCCCATGGAAAGAGTGGCCACAGAGAGGGCACCTGGTCCCTGCCACCTGTGGCTAGGGAGATGTGGGGCACCCGCATGGGGCTCGGACCCATCGGACTGCCTGGGCTTGGCCCCGGCCCTCCAGTCCGCTCTGCGCCGGCCCGGAGCCCGAGCTCCCGGTGAGTGCCGCAGGCGCTCGTTGGCGGGCCTTGCCCGGAACTGGGCTGCCCTCCCTGTGCTCCTCTTCCTCACCCAGCAGAGCCCCCGGTGGGCAGCTGCGCCGGGGGCCTGGGAGGCTGCTCTTGAGGGGAAAGGGCCCCCGCGTGCGTGGCTGCTCGCAGCCTCCCTCTCCCACTCCCAGCACGGCCAGCGGCTGGTGGCCGGGACTTGCCGGAGAGGATCTTCCTCCCCAGGCTGCAGCACGAGTCGCGTCCCCTCCCATGCCACCCGCAGCTGCCGCTGGGGCTGCTGCGCCTGATGCAGGTGGTTGTGCCGGCTTCGTTTTGCGCGTGGTTGCAGACTTCGGCTCGGCGCGGGGCGGGGGGGGTGCTGCAGGATGAGCCCCTGTGCTCCTGCAGAAAAACGTAATGCAAAAAAATAACGCTTTGGGTGTTGGAACTGCTGGGAAGGGATGGAGGCACATTTCTCGGGGGAGAACCCCGCTCTGTGGACCAGTCAGGAAGAGGCAGCGGAAGGAGACTGCGCACAAGAGAGCAAGGAGGGGATTTTGCTTGAGGAGGCTTCCGGGATGCTCAGCAAAGGTGGAAAAATGGGGACGGGGCAGAAAGTGACGGCACCAGCCAGGTGTGAGGTGGCCCACTGAGGAAGAGGCGGCAGGTGATGGTCAGTCATGGCAGCCGCCTCCCCCTGGCCCTTGCTTGTTGTGTCGTGTGAATCCACCTGCTCTTTCTAACAGTTTCCTCTTTAGGTTAGAATCCCAGCTTTTGCTCTGTCCCTTATGAGAAAGGCTTTCTCGCATATCCACGTTCTGCTAAAGATGCCACACTCTGTCAGGTGGGTGGGGAGGGGCGGGGAGGGGAGGGGGAAGCAAGAGACACCCTGAAAGTTGTGACCTGGCTCTTCCAGTGGGAAAAGGGAATTCCGCAGCACTGTGGATGTTTCCGGTAAATCGCGAGGGAAGGTCATGCGATGCTATTGCTGGCTGTGCATTTCCCTGCAGTTCCAGGGATTCGGCACGTTCCCATGCCCACCCAGGGCCTCTGCCCCGTCTCAGGCTCCATCTGGCATTAACCTGCAGTCCAAACATTCCTGTGCAAAATGCAAGAAGCAGAGATTCTGGATTGTCTTCAGGGTGCCTGCTTATGCTCTTCTGTGGGCCCCGCAAAATACTGGGAAGATGCAGGATGTGGCACCTTTAACAGTCCTTTCCTATGTATTCTCTGCATAATGTTTTCCTTCTCTTTCTTCCATTCCCACACACCACCTCTTTTAGACTCGGGATATAAGCCCAGAAGAGATAGATTTAAAGAATGAGCCTTGGTATAAATTCTTTTCGGAACTGGAGTTTGGGAAACCGGTAAGTCTGCTAGCCCCAGTCAGCAGTGAATAACGCTCCCTTGGGCTTCTCTCCCACACACATTATTTTAAACATTATGCTTGCAAGACAAGAAAAGGAAGCCTGCCAGAATCAACCCTCTTTTCTAAAGAGCAGAGGAAGTTCTCTTTGTCCTGGATCCAGAGATCTGTGGTTGCTTCATGGCCACTTCATGACAGTTTCTTCAGTTCAACTGAAAATATGTTGTCCGTGTAATTTAAGAGAAACATTTTGACATGAAAGCATATTCTTTTCCAATGACTTCTTCCTATTTGTCTAGCAAGAACAAATAAGGTCCCTCCCTGTTTGGCTAAGTAACTTCGGATCTGGAGAATTTCACCCACGCTTGCCACCTAGTGTTTCTCAGTCATTGACCAATTACTGCCAATTGCTGATTGATGAATCTTGCACAATACTCATAATTTCTTTTGCTTTCCTGATTTCTTTTTCTCCTCTGATAAAGTTGCAGTCATGGCAAAGTCCAGGAAATGTCCTGATGGGCAAATAAGTGTCTTAATCATTCCCACATTGCTTTAAGTGGACGTCAGACACAGACGTGAAGAAGATCTTCCAGATCAAAAGTGTGTAGTATAAAACGTGACTGTGCGTTTATTGCACAAACAGTGGAATCAAAAGACTGATTCCCTTTCGATGCTACATGTTATTTATGTGCAGTGCATAAATATGAGGGCGCTTCATCGATGTTAAAGTGTTGTGGCAGGTTCATACTCAAGTGGCTTTCTTGGAAGTCATGCAAAGCTGATGGAAGAACTCTGCGGGAAGAGATTATTCGCACGATTCGTGGATGCGCAGAATCCAATAGAAATTAAATGTCTCTGTCATTAGCATATACTAGTACGATTTTTAACATTTCTGGTTGAGCATGCATTTTATTAATCTAAACTATTTATATATTGCTTGATACCATGAGAGCATGGGATGGCTTCCATATGCCACCCTAAAACAGCATTTTTCCTGATGTAAGACGGAGGGCAAATCTGTTTCCTTTTGCACTACACTGAAGTTGCATGTTATCCATGGCCCTTTGGGGGACTGAAGGGACAGAATACCAAAATCGGATCACCCAAATTCAGCAAACTGTCAGAACTGTGAAGTGTGTGGCTTACCTGGGGTGTGAAAATGCATCTTGCCGTGTCCCAGCGACATTAAGAACTGGCGGTTATTTCTGAAGACATCCGCATCATTTAGGTGGCCTGTCGTGCCCACGTGTCTCTAAAGGATGCCTTCCGCGGCAGTGGAGGAGGGAGAATGTCAGTGTGCTGAAACTTTCAGTTCAAGATGAGAATCCTGCTAAACGAGGAGTCTGGCCACCCCTCTGCTGGGTGGGAAGGGCAGGTCATCCCATAGGGAGGGGCTGCACCAAATTTATAGGGAATCCTATAAAGGAAAAGGGAACAATCCGGGGGACAGCTATGAAGCTTTTTCTGGAGAGAAGCAGCATCTTTTGCTGGGAAAAACTGTCATTCTTCTCAGTCAGCAAAGCACATGCCCAGGCGGGGCTGCAGTTGGTTCTTAGTCTCCGGCTGTCGATTCAGCACAGACCCGTGTGAGCAGCCGGGCGGCTCAGGATGGGCAAACGCAGGCCTGGATCGGCATCATGCGGCGTGTGCCCTCTCAGGATGGGATGGTGGCTACCAGGCTAGGCGTGTGTTACATGGGCTGCATACCACCTTCAGGCTCAGAGGCATCTCGTTGGCAGTGCTGGGAAAGAAAGCTGAGAGGAGAGCAGCTTCCCGGAGATGTCTTGGCCACCGTGGAAGACAGGATGGCTGATTAGACAGCCGTTGGCCTGATCCAGTGGGGCACGGCTTATGCACCTGTGTTTTTTTGCAAAGCAGTAGTTAGAGGTTTCCTCATGAAGCCTCAAGCACAGTTCTTGTGCTTTGACGTGGTGCCCCCAAGCCACTGTTACGGGTGTGTTTGTACTGCGGAATAAGCACAGTGCCACCCCAAAAGATGTGCTGCAATTGCCATGAGAACGGAATCAACCGTTAAGCCATTGCAAAGGCCCAGGCCCCACGAAGAATAAAGCAACATGGGAAAAAGACGTGAGAGCAGTTCAGCAATGGGGAAAGTGAGGATTATGCTGGGAAGCAATTAAACAGAGCTTTGGACCAGCTTGTGGCATTTCTCAGGGACCAGCCTCCTGGTGTGGGAAATGCACGATTCAAGGGGGGTACAAGCTGCAGTTCCTTACTGGCAGTTACTGAAATGGAGATGAAATGTCTGCAGGGATATTTAAACGCCTGCTCTGCCAGCTGCTCATTAGGTTTGTACTGAATATGGAAGCTAGGAACCAACTTCAGATTAACTGCACAGTCATTTTGGGGTTTAGATGGGGGGCCTATTTACAGGGGGCATCGAACCCCGAACTTCACTGAGGCTTCTGCCTCTGGATTCTTTGCAGCATTAAAATCGGCTTCTGTATGCATCTCTTTCCAGGGGTTTTCTTTCTCCGTCTTTCTGTATGTTCTGTTGCACAACCATCAGGTGTAGCAGCATTGCATGCATGAGCATCTCTCACGACAGCTCCCACTGGGTGACTCTGCATGGCGCAGAGCCCCTAATTTTGCAAGCAGGTAACAGGAGCGCAAATTCGCCAAACTGAAGTGAGTGCAGCAACATGGCTTCGAAAGGGCGTTGAACAATGGGGCTCTGCTGCCCGACACACACACACACACACACACACACACACACACACACACACAGCACGCAGGATTGTGTGTGCAGCCCTGCTGCTTGTGGTCCCCAGCCCTGAAGCTCTGCTTGCCGCCACTTCCGGCTCTGAGCGCCCGCCAGATCCAGGCCTCCTGGGCGCTGCGATTTTCCTGTCCCCCAAACTAGCTGCTATAGTTCAATTCTGCCAGCAGAAGAGCAGTGACTGACCCAAAAGGCGAAGTGAGCGACTCCTGCATTTTCCTTGCCCCATGGTGCCAGCGGTGGAGGCTCAGCCAGATGTACTTTGAGGCCAAGAGTGTGTTGGGCACTTCAATTAAGAATGAAGCGGCTATTTGCTGTGCTTAACTGCCCCTTCCTTTTGCAAAAGAGAATTCGGTGTGCCGGGGGCGGGGGGCTCGGTTTCTTCATATGAGTGCGATCCTATGGCCTCCCAGTGTTACCTGGGTTCCCCAGGAGTATTCGGCACCCAGAGCTCCTGAGGTGTGGAAAGAAAACCCTGTGCTGGTTGTCTCTCTGGAAAACCCATGCCGGTTGTCAAATCGGCCCTGGAAAGCAGGGACTGGGACGTGCAGGGGAGGGGAGGAGGCTGGGCCCACTCCCAGATGTGCTCCGGCCTCGCAGCGTTTCATCTGGACGGCTGGAAATGGCAGTCTTGGTGAAGTGCAGGCTGCCTCGGGGCTGGGGCGCCGGACGCTCACAGGACCCCGAGTTTGCAGGCGTCCACGCTAGTGGGCAGAGGCCACTGTTGGGCTGTTCCCTGAGCCATGTTCTCGTGGAATAGGAGAGTTGGAAGGGGCCAGAGGTCCAGCCCCCTGCTCAGTGCGGGCCTCCGAGCTGAATGCTTTTGCCGCACAAACGAGAGCAGCCAAAGCCTTTCCGAGCAAAGCGTAGAACAAGCCGCACGGCGCAGTGTGTGCCCCGGTGTCCTCCCCCCATAACCTCCTGTGTTTGTGCTATGGCAGGTTTATCTCCTCTCTCTTTTTGCATCCCCTCTTCAGTTTTATTTCCAGCATTGAAACGGTTTCCCCCCAGTGCACCCCCTTCTATTCTAATCCAGTTTCCATATTATCTGTGATGTCTTTCCTTATCTTCATCTCCTCATTTCCTCCTCTGCTTCCCATCAGCCTCCAAAAAAGATATGGGATTATACTCCTGGAGAGTGCTCTATCCTTACTAGAGAGGATAGAAAGGTAATTCAACATACATTGTACTATGGCCTAGTTTTTGTGTGCATATGTGGCTTTAACTTTCAGTCTGTAGCAATGTTTAGATTTTATGAGTGTAACTCGTGGTTTGAATTTAATTGAGCCTGAGCTCATTTTACGGGCTGTAAAAAGCATCTTAAAAGAGTCCCTGTAACCTTTATTAGACCATAAGCAACTGTACTAACAGGAGTGTGCCAATGAGGATACAGTATGAATGCATTTTTCCTTAAGTCTAACAAGATTATTTGTGGTTTAACACTAAGCAAAGAACGTAAGCCAGTCAAGTATTTGAGTATTGAAAAGGTATTGAATGTTTGCTTTGTTAAAACCATTCTTTTCCTTTTGAAACAAAAGGCTTTAATTTCATAGTTTAACTTTTATCTTTTGCCTAACCCACACCACTGTTTTCCCCTTCCCTTCTTCCATCTTTAACCAGACCGATGATGAACGCGACCTCTATCTCTACCAGACGGAGTTAGAGGCCGACCTAGAAAAAATGGAGAAGCTTTATAAAGCAAAAGATAAAAAGGAGATGAAGGTATTGTCTGAGCTCCCACTGCTTTATTTTCATGCTATATGGCAGGTCCTGAGGATAGGGATGTGCGATGAACCTCTTTTGGGGGTGGAAAGCTGTGTGTTTCCCGGAACGGGCCAACCACGAGAGGCCTGCAAACACTAGAGAGGCGGATTCCACAGAGCTTCAACACTTCCCTACTTGAGGATTCCTTCGTGCCTCCTGTCCTGTCCAAACTGCAATTCGCTAATGCATTTCAGCTCAGCTGCTTCCTTCAAAAATTGCCTGGAGAGAAAAGTGTTGCTGAGGATGAGCGGAGTACCCTTGCAATGCTTCTAGGCAGATTGCATTCTCCTGCAATGCCCTGAGCCAAGCACCTCTTACCTGGCAGCGGATTTACTGGCATCCACTGCTTCACCCAGAACAGTGACAGCACCGATTTCCAGTCCCTTCTAAAAACCGAGCTTCCCCGCACCCCAAGCTGCGCGCACACAGACTAGCAGAGGGCTGCTTCTCCTGCCCTGCAAGCCCTCCCTCTTCCCTCGGGGTCACCTCCTGGAATCCGGGCGCAGGTGCTGGGTGAGATGCGCTCTCCGGATCGGAGGAGAGTGCATGGAGGAGGCGATGTCTAGTCCACTTCCAGAAGAGCCGAGAAGGCGGACGTTGGTGTCACGTTGCATGGCACATGCTGAGGCTGGCAGGAAAGAAGACCCCCGAGAAGGGGCCGGGGACATTCAGGGGAGCAGGCAAAGGAGAGGACCGGGGCCGCCGGGCAGTCCCTGAACCTCCTTCCCTCATGCTCCAGGACAGGGTGGGCCATCCAGGCGCCCTGCAGGGCAGGAGCAGCTTGGCGGTGGCCTTCACCTCCGTGTTCCTCAGCCCTGTGGCGTGAGCCTGCGCTCCTGCGGGCATCCCGACAAGATCGCCCCCTAATTGGTAGATGTGCAGCTGCGTTCCCGCTACATTATGCGGTTTCAAGAGGGAAGAAAGGAACAGGCCTTAGCACGAGAATCACATAAAATACCTGCCTTGAATTTCTCGTTCTGACTTGCTTATAGGAATAGGAATTACTAGCAAGACTTGGTTGCGGGGCTGCCATCCCCAAGTCCTGCTTGGCCTGTGGAAAACAGGTGCAAGTTGAGGGAATGTCTTCCTTCTTTTGGCATTTCCCCTGGCAGCTTTCCTTCCCTCTTAAAACCTTCCCTCCCAGCTTATATCTCCTATATTCCTTCAAAGAACCATTTTTGCCTGTGACATAATGCATTATTATTCCTTATCCTAATCAAAATATCCAGAGTGAATTCTGGAAAATTAAGATGTTAATCAGCTGTTTCTGCATTACAACTGCATGAATCATTCCAAAAGTTAGAGATCCCCTTTTCCTGTGAATGAGTCAAATACCATCTTAACTGAGGTTTGTGTAAATTCTGCAAGAGCAATATGTGCACTAATGAGCTTCATGTTCCCACAAGCTTCTTACTATTGCTGCTGATTTATACTGTTCAATAGTGCATACTTTAAAATCGCAGGAAGATATGGCTACATAGAGTTAAATATTCAGAAGCAGTTAATTCTTTCTCCTGTTCTTTTTAATTTTGAAAACACAAACCTCACGAAATCGTAGAATGACATGCAGGCTTGGGAGACTCGCTCTCTCTGTGCAAAGTGCCCATTTCAGGGGAGAGAGTCCTGAGAGCGCAGTTCTGCGCACATTTAGCACGCGGCTGGCGGGGGCATTCTGGGCGGGGAGGGGAAAGAGCGGCTCCCTCTCCACCCAGGCTCAGGAAGACAAAGCCTCCCACTCTGCTGTTTCTGTTGGGAGCAGAGCACTCGACCTCACAACGAGTTTGGACCTTGTTGCAAACCGTGAAATGGTGCAGCCGCTGGACTGTGTTCGCTGCATCCTGAGCAAAAGGAGGTGCAGGCCTGCCTTTTCTGCTCCCAGATTGGTTTCCTCATTGAAAAGGCTCGGGAATGTTATGGTGGATGTGTATGCCCTATGCATAAATACAGTGTTGGCCATGCCCACAGCATGAACTGGGCAAAAATATCTTGCTTCCAAAGGGGTCTTCCAAAACCAGGATTTGAGCTGTAGGTGGAAAATAATGTGAGTGATCTCTTTGCTTCAAGTTTCCATGGAAGTCTCTGTGTGTCACTGGTATATTTATCTGGATTTTTGCAGAGTACGACACGTTCCTCTCCCCTGGACACATTCTCAGACCTTTTGCCTCAGTAAGTATTGAAAGCTGCTACCTGATGTTTGTGTCGGTATTTTGGGATGCTTTTCATGCTGGAAATGGTATCTTCAGATCATTAACCATTGTGAACTGTAGACTACACCAGGAATTTTATGGATGTGTGAACCAGATTCATGAGGAATGAAGAACTCTCTTTGAAATTAGCACAGGTTGATAGGGATGGGCAATTGTCAGCCAGGCCTGTGTTGCGGGCCTTCCAATGGACCAGCATTTCCCATTCATTGGAGGAGCATGGCTGCAAGACCTTCCATTTTCCCACAAAAGTTGGTGCCAAGGTGATGGTGGTGCCACCTTGAAGATGATCTGCATGGTCGGACCATGGGGGCTGGGTCTGCTTGTCCCAGATGCGGTCGCCTCGGCCCCCGACTCTGCAGTGGAAGAAAAGGAGGGGCCGGAACAGGACCAGTTGCTCGTCACCAGCTCAGGCGAGTTGGCCGGTTGAGTAACATCCAGGGTTCTCACCCACAAGCAGCAGGTCCTTCCTGCTGGCGGAGTGGACTGCATTTAGTTGGGAAATGAGGAGTGGGGTTCGGTTCGGCATTGGCTCCTTGCTTGAGCAATGCTTCCTTTCGTCTTCTGCTAACGAGTTCTTCAGCTCTCATGCTGTGTCACCAGGCTGATCTGGCTGGTCTGCTTTACCCCATTAAGTCTATAATAGCATCTTTTCATCTTGATCTGCTGGAAAGGGCAAAGGAGGTGGGAGGAGGCAGCTCAGAGCAAGAAGTGGATTACTTTAGCAGAGCATCTTTCTTATGCAGAATGTCAGTGAGAGCACATTTCAATTCCCACATATTCAAGCAAGCAGCATTAAGCTTCAGCCAACCAGACAGAGGCCCACTTACTTAGTCCCTGGTTTAACCCTGTTCCCACCAGCCAAGCCTTGTTCCTGCTCAGGATTCACAAAGCGAATATCCATACGGGGAGGTGGGCCTGTCGTCTGAAGTGTGCGTCCATGTACTGAATTAATTCCATTGCCAAAAGAGTCCATGCGCAGCACAGATACTTAGCTGTTATCATGGTACCCCCCACCCCCGCAACAGGAGAACTGTTTTTATGCATCCTCCACACACTGTCAAGTCTTGGCAACCCTGTGAATGGCTCCCCTCTGGAAGGCCCTGTCCTTCACAGCCCTGCTCAGCTCTTCTCCGCTCATGGCCATGGCTTACTGGATGGGGTCCATCCCACTCCTTGCTGGCCTTCATTTTCTTCTGCATCTGACTTTCCCCAGCATGATGGTCTTCTACAGGGAGCCTGGCCTGCCCATGATGTGCCCAAAGTATTAAAGCCTCAGCTTTGTAGTGTCTGCTTCTACAAAAAGCATTGCCTGTCCCTTTCCAGAACCCCTAAGAACGGACATCTGTGGCCATTTAAAAAAGCTCTTTTCAAGTTTTTACATGAATTTTCTGCTAATAATATAGAAAACAGAGAGAAAACTGGTTGTAAATTAGAGTGATCCATGCGATGATGCTTCTTCACACAACACATCAACCAATTTCTTCTTGCACTGACTTTTCCATCAAACTCAACCTTTCCTCGAAAGTCTCCATAATCCAGCATCTGTAGCTACCGTCAGTGAGGATACCAAGTGTGTAAAGGATTAGTAAGAAATTAGGAGCTAAGGTGACAGAAGGCCTAGGCCAGAGGTAGGGAAATGTGTTGTCCTGGGGGTACATTTGCCATTTTCATGGGGCCCAGAGCCACGCATGTCCCTCAGTCCTTTTGACCTGTAATTCTCTCTCCAAACTGCTGCCCAAAATCTCCAAAACCTTGAGAGCTCTTTACTTGCCCCCTTGCTCTCCTCCCCTTCTTGAATGTCCTTCCCACCAAGGCCGACCCACTGCCCAGATTGGCGTTGCTGGCACTACCCTTTCCTCCACCGCTGCTGTGCTCATTGCCTCCCCCCAGATTTCCTCCCCTGGCCTTTCCCTCCCCCGTGGCCACTGCTGCAATGCCCACAGGTTCAGCGCTACCACCCTGGTCTGGGCAGTGGGCAGAATTGGTCCCCGGGCTCAGGAAGCAGCGGTCAAGGCAGGCGGAGCTGGACGGGGCTTTCTTCTGGGTCTCTGCTCCACATGGGGCGCAGGAGAGCTGGGGCACAGGTGCTGATGCTTTTCATGTGGGCTCCGGATTGGACCAAGAAGGCCAAAAGGCGTCTCAAAATATGGACAGGGGTTCTTTTCCTTGTCTCAGAGGGTCTTGCTACTTTGTTTTCTAGCTCCTGTTCTGTTGCTGAGAAAAAAAATTCTTTCTCCTCCTGCACATTTTTAGCTCACCATATTCCCCCAGCTCCCATTCATTAGAAACGGCTCTTGGCGATTCCACTGGACTGGAAAATGAGAGGCAGATCTACAAAAGTGTTTTGGAAGGAGGTGACATCCCACTGCAGGGACTGAGTGGCCTTAAGCGCCCCTCCAGTTCAGCCTCCACTAAAGGTAGGTGGCTCAAGCAGCAGCCCGTGTGTTTCCTCATGCAGTCATTATCGGGGCTGGAAATTTTTACAGAGATTATATTCAATTGCATTGCATTTATATTTAACGTAGTTTAATATATTTATGTCAGCGTTTTAGATATGATAAATAATTCATCAGCCCGTAGTTGACTGCACCGCTTCATACAGTGAGTGGAAGATGTCATTTTAAGGCTTCCTCATCTAAAGATATTTCTTGCAGGTGAAAAATAAACCTGCTGCATTGGGGAGAAGTGCAGCAAGGTGTGTTGTGTTTGAAAAGCCGGCATTCAGAATGTTGTTTGCACTGTTGCCATCCATTTTGCCATCTCGGGAGCCCTTCACGTTTTGCTGCACGTGCCAGGATCATGCTGGGAAATCAAGAAATGTGGATCCTAAAGCATTTTGTTTCAGGGTTTCCTAAAGCCAGAAACCTTAGAAAATAAGCATATTTATCTGCAGCTATCTATTCCTCATGAATATTTGGGTGGAGGACAGAAGGGCAGGTTACAGAGTCATTTGTAGCAGAGTATTTATCCAAGTTTTGGAAGATGTTGCCTAGCGCTCTTCTATCCCTTTGAGTGGAATTACTTTGCCCACTTCCCGAAACAGGGCAGTCTCTTGCCAACTCTTTTTCTGGCTTGGCACACCTCATGCTGCTTTGCCTTTGCTCTTCCGTGTCTCCTTAATGCCTCTGACTCCACAGAACCCCCTGCGAGCCCCTGTCTGGCCACGACAGACCTCTCTTCTGACCACCATCATGATCTACCGATAGCTTCCTAAACTGGATACATACTTCCACTGGCCCATGAGTTCTCCTTTCACTGCAATGCTCGGTGGCCATGAGGGCCGCCCCGGGTGTGAGCAGGGGGCTCCTTCTGCATGCACAACACACACACGTGGGCACCGAGATGGGCACACGCAGACTTGGGTTCTCTGGGGCCAGGGAGGGAGCTCCACCTTGCGGTCCTGAGGATGATGCCGCTGGGAGCTCTTGGGCCGGAGGTGGCTGCATGAGGGCTGCGGGGCAGAGGGAAACCCTGCTGCCCACACTGGGAGAGCTTCTTGGGCAGCACTGTTTGCTAATTAGCCGATATTGAGTGCGTGTGATTGATGTCGGCTGAGTGCTAACCTGATTTTGGTGAAGAATTAAGCAGATGCTGCCGGAGCATGGCCATGAATTGCCTCCCGTAATGGGAAGCGCCCCACACTCTTGCAGTTCCTTTATGAAACCACTGCTCCCAGAAGTAAAAGGTGGACTTTTCCTTGCGGATATTTGCAATAAATACATAAAAATCGGTAGAGCCAAAGAAAATAAAGAAAATCACTTAAAAAAACCCTGTTTTGCTCTTATATTTCCAAATTTATTTCTGGAACAGAGCAACGTGTTTATGTTTATTGAAATAAACAGCAATGACTGCAGAGGCATCCTGTGCCTGTACTCAGCAGTAAGCCTTGTTGATTCAGTAGACTCGTTCTCGTCTCGTCTGTGTCCCAGCCCTGGAGTGCTAAAATCCTCGCAGGGGCCCACTGCTGGCAGGCTGTGTCTGACCTGGATTGCCAAGGGCAGTCCAGAATGCCCATGCAAGTGTCCCAACGCTGGGATGCTCGTGTTCGTCCCACATAAAGAGAAACCTAAATTTCTTCGCCGGGGCCTCTGTGCGTCACACATGATGGGTGCTGCGCCTGCGCAGTGTCCGCGGCCGGGAAGGATTCAAAGCTTTAACGGATTTTGGTGGGAACGCCGCACCCCTCCCCCACTATACAATAAAGAGCGGAGCGCCCGCCATTTTCCCCAGTCTTCTTTCAACCGTCGATTACTTTGCCTCGAGCTGTTCATTATTCTCTCTCACACTTTTGCATATACCTAGTTGTTCTCGTTCTATTTTCTGGCTGTTCTTCTCTTGTTAAGAAATCTCCCTTTCCAAGTTTAAAATCCTTACCTTCCTCGTTTAGGAATTTTTCTTCCCCTTTTCCCCTTCCCCTTCCCTAAAACAAAGACAATAACAGCAAAAATAAACCCTTCTATAGTTCTGCTTTCTTGCTTTGCTATCCATCTTTCCTCTCCTCGATGGCTCACCGAGCGATGTTTCGGAAGTGTTCCAAATGTGGGGCCCAAATGTCCCCAATGGATCCTCAAAATGTCCCCAGTGGACTCAAAATGTCCCCAGTGGACTCAAATGTGGCCACTGTCAATCCTTCACCAAACAAGCTCGGAAGAACCTTGAGAACCGGCTTTGGAAAATCCTCTGAGATCAGGCCTTGATTGCGTCAGGCGAGCTTCTGCTCAGGCCGCCTCAGCAGGCCCTGCTGTGATGTCTCCCCCTCACCCACCATCTGAGGGTGCCACCTCTAAGGGGACTGCCCGCTCCTCTTGTTCTCCTTTTCAAAAGCACAAGGAAAGGAGGAAGCATACAGGGTCCGATGTGCCCTCGGCTCTGAAGAAGCCCAAAAAGGCTAAGGCCAATAAACCGGACTGCAAGCAATGTAAGCTTGCCAAGGAGCCATGAAGGGATTCGAGCTCGACTGCTCCATCGATCCCGACGGTCGCCTCGGTTCTGACTCCTTCTGGCCCTACTGCACAGGCTGTGATGCAGGTGACTCCGCCGGGGTCTCCCCAGGGGATCTCCTTATCGACACCATCAACTTCGGACCATTCTGAGGCCGTGGTTCATGGGTCCATGTCAGATGGCGAGATCTGGGACTCTCCTCCCCCATCTCAGGCTGGTCATTCATTGTCACATTCGCCGACACCGATGCCATCCTCACCCGAGGCACCTCCAAGACCACAGCTTCAATCTGACATGCGTCGCCATCCGCGTGCCTCAGACCAGCCATCCAGGAACTGGGTGCCGATGCCGTACGGTGGATTCGACACATCCCAATCTTATCCTTGGGACTACCCCCCACCATATGGGTATTATCCGATGCCCTCGGTGTGTCACCATAGCCCTCGCCCGTTGCAGAGAGATGCCCCTTCAACATCTGCGGCTGCTCTCTCCAGGCCTCCTCCGTCTCTGGCTGGTTTGTCCTCCAGTCCTCTGGATCAATACGACTCCGATTCGGAGGACTTGGAGCAGGCTTCCACCTCGCCTGATGCCACCATCTCAGCCCAGGGACCGGGTTCACCGGAGGAGTCTTACTCGATGTTTGGGGAGTTAATGGCTCACTTCACCGGATCCTTGGAGATAGAAGTCCAGCATCGAGTCACCTCTAGCACTGATCATTTCTATGATATTGTTCGCAGGGAACAATCCTCGGCTATCTCCTTGCCATTGATTACGACCCTCCGACAGGACATGACGGACACTTGGGAATACCCGAACCAGCCACGCCTGACCTCTTGGCGCTATGTGTCAATGTAAGTTAGGGAACAAGACGTCCCTTTCCTTCTAAAACATCCAAAGCTGAATTCCTTGGTCATCAAGTTGTCTCAAGGTCAGGAGAAGAGGGAGCACTCCACTCCTCGAGACAAGAAGGGTCGTAAGATCAACCTGATGTCACGCCGCATCTATGCTGCAATGGGCCTGGGCTTGCGTATCTCGAATTACGAGGCTACCATGGCCAGATATCAATACTTCTTAGTGCAAAGGCTGGCGTCCATAACATCGGCCATACCAGATCAACGAGATCTGGCCCACATCTTCACTCGCGAGTCTCTGCAGCTGGCCATTCAGCAGTGGAGTTCGGTGAGGCATCATGTCGACTGCGGCTCCCGGGCTCTTGTCGGCTCCATTGCCCTACGCCGGCATGTGTGGCTGCGTTCATGAAATTTCCCCGGCAAGATGAAGTGATGCATCTAGGGCATGCCTTTTGACAGGTCTGGACTTTTCAATGCTCGTACTGACCACAAACTCAACCACATCTACAAAGCCCGAGTGACTGCCCGGCGAATGGAGATCCTGAACCAAAACATACGTATGTGGCTACAGTCTCAACCTTCCAGATACCAGCCTTACCACCAATATGCCGCCTGTCAACAATATCAGCCTCGCCAACAGCGGAACCAAAAACAACCGGCTTCCCACTACCAGCAAGGTCGTCACTGTCCTGACACTGACAAGCGACAGCGTTGACGGGACGCGTGGACCTCTCTTCTCTCCATCTACCCACCTTCCCCTCTCCCTTTTGGGGACCGGCTTCAAGGCTGACTCCCCATTTGGGAGTCCTTCACATCTGACAAGAGGGTACTTTCCATCATTGAGCACGGATATAAAATCAAGTTTGATACCATGCCCCCATCGGGACTGATCTGTTTCACATCTCCTTCAAGATGAAGTTTCCCAGCTACTTCGTAAAGGAGCGATCTGTCAACTCACTCACTCCGAGGGGCTTCACGGCTTCTACTCAAGATACTTTACGGTCCCGAAGCGGGATGGTGGTCTCTGCCCAATATTGGATTTACATGGCATGAACAGGTTCATTAAGACCAAAAAATTCTGGATGACCGCCCTTCAAAACATTCTTCCTTTGGTCAGGAGAGAAGATTGGTTCACATCTCTGGACGTGAAGGATGCATACTTCCATATCAGTATCCATGCAACAGATAGATGATTGCTCTGATTATCTGTTGGTACCAACCTTTTTGAATATAATGTTCTTCCCTTTGGATTAGCTACTGCTTCACAGGTCTTTTCGAAATGCATGGCTCCTATTTGTGTCCATTTTAGGTTACAAGGTGTCCATATCTACCTGTTTGGCTGATTGGCTGATTGTCTCCTCCTCTAGAGAAAGGCTACTTTCAGTCATCGATACCACTTGCAACCTCTTAGACAGACTCGGACTTTGTATTAATGTCCAAAAGTCATGCCTCATTCCCTCACAGGTCATTGACTTCATCGGAGCACGTCTCGACTTGCTCTAGGCCAGAGCGTTTCTTCCACAAGCTCAAAAGGACAAGCTTCGGTCCTCCATTCATCGGATCCCCAGTAGTCAAGTTGTTCCCACGCTGTCCATCCAGAAACTGTTTGGCCATATGGCCTCCAC